ATTTTGATTGAAAATAGATTCTGAATTAAATCATGAGACATCCAGAGACTCCATCCAGTTCCTAACCCAAGTCCCTACAGACTGAGCTGCTGCCGCCCCATTTCCATCAGCTCTACTCATGGCTTTTCAACATTTTGGAACATTCCTAACCAAAAAAAGAGACATTTTAATTCCACTGTAGTCTGAAAACAGAATCGTTATGAGCATCTGTGCAAAGAAAAGGAAAGAGACATCGATGCAGGATGTCAATTCTGATCACTTGATACTCGAGAAAAGACAAAGAACAAAAGAAAAAACTGAGTGAGTAGATGAGTAGTGTTGTCTGACACTCGGTGAAGAACAGTGATTCATCTGGACCACAGATGGTCTCCGTCTGTCCCCACTCCGCTCTCTGCTTTGAGAAATCCAGACACATATTTCTCCTCATTCTTCCTCTCTTACGGTGAAGTCTGAACGTTCAGATATTTATCTCAGACATGTGGGAACACCGTTCTAACTTTGTGGATAAATGTGAAAATATAATTAAATTAAGAAGTGAAACCCCCCCCCGGTTTGGTCCGTTCATGAAAGAGGGTCAGGAGGAAAGTGTGTCACATAAAACCTCAGTCAGAAGATGCATCTATGTGTGGCTTATAGTGAAAGCTGTATCTTCTACTGTATTCACACATGCACAAAACAATTTTTGGGCCAAGCTGCATGTGTGAACGCCAACTGCCAAATTTTCACCCTGACTTTCTGCACTTTTTCCTGCTAGCCCCCCTCCAGTATGATGACCTCCTGAAGTCTGGGTGGCACTGATGTGAGGATGCAGCATGTAGGGAGATGCACCTTGAGGAGCGAGGGGAACATTAATAAAGGGTCAATAATATAAAGCGTAACCAAGGTTACCTTGGGCATCCTCTGTGTGGCCGGTGACTCCGGGCCTTGGTCGATGCTGGTGGCCGTATCCGGCTCTCTGTATTGGGCTTTCAGCTTGCCGTAGCGTTGGCTGCAGTGGCGCATGCTCTTCCTGTGCCATAGCTGCTGCTTGGTCTCACAGTCCTCCCCGACGCCGAACCAGGTCGCCGTGTTCCTGCAGGGACGAGAAGAAGGTGCTGCTGGTGTCACATGACAGAGTGGAGAGAGTGAGGGCAGGTGATGATCAGAGCAGTTTCACTTTAAGGATATCAAAGAGGATGATTAGAGGGACCCTGGAGAGGAAGCATTTGGATGAATCATGTGGGGATCAGCACTTCCTGAACACTTTAATGACTATTTATGAGTTCATTGTTGGTCTATAAATTAAATATTGTGTGTTTGACTAACAGAGTAAATGTTGAGCTGCCTGAAACAACAAGCTCTTCTTCTTTACCTGCGGATGCTTTGTGAGAGCGACGTCTGTCTGCCGAACTTGGCCCTCCTGTCTCTGGCTGAGGAGCGTCCATCGTAGGCTCCGCCCACGCTCTCCGACAACGAGCCGGGGGCCTGACTCATGCTTTTTTTCAGAGACGGTCGAAGTGGCTGAGCAGAGGGGAAGGAGAGACAACAGTGACTAAAGAGGGTTCAAAATGATCAAAGTGAGTCGTTGTGGATTCACATTGCCTTGCAGAAGCACAGCGGGAGCTACACACACACACACACACACACACACACACACACACACACACACACACACACACACACTCCTCTGAGGGTCCATTACCTTAACCTGAAGTGACTCTGTACTTGGCAGGGCTAATGTAGTAGCCCTACTAAGTAGTAGTAGTTTGATATTTTGGTGGAAAAATTCTACATATTATACCTTCAAATGTGTAAACTCCTTCCTCCTGTTGCCTTGGTGACATTGTTGAGGTTTTCTTTGTTCTTTCTTAAAACAACTCTTCTGACCAAAGGTTGATTTGATGGATTTGTTTGTGAAATGTTTTAGAGTTAGAGAGAGCAGGCAGCTAGTTTCTGATTGTAAATATTTTTAAATAGATGTTTCAGCCTCAGGGAACTTTTCAGAACGTGTCATTAATTCAGGGCACACTGGAAAGAGCTCAACACCAGCATTGTAACAGGAAGTGGTTAGTCATTTGGATCACAAATCTGTTAAGTGACAATCCGCCCCAGAAGGTCACGCAGTAACTTCTGGTGTTAACAAAATGAAGCCGGAGCAAAACAACTGCAGTTCCTCCAGTGTCCACCGTCCCCCGTTTGAGTCTACGTCCATATTTCAGTCTGTGAGTAAAACAAAAGGTCAGAGTGAAAACAGCAGGTACCTGTTTCGCCGGGTCGTGGGTCATGGTCTCCTCAGGCGGAGGGATCGCTATCACAAGGCTCGGCGGCTTCTTGCTCTTTAGACGGCTATCTGGTTGACCTCCGTTTGGAGGGGGCTCGTTACCCCCCTGTGATGACATCCTGTCAGAGCGCTGCACAGAGGAAATCAGATTTTAAAACAGAATTCAAACTTTTATGTCACATAAGATTAGTTTCAAGTTACCACAGTATCAAACTACGTACTTTATGAACATCTCAGTTTCCTTTAATACCACTAAACCGACTTCTGAGATGTGATTGGCTGAAACGAAAGTCACTTTTAAAAGAAGAATGTACGACTTTTTGATCCAGTAGATGTCGCCCTGTTTGGCCACACCCCCTCCATCCTGAAGCCTCCGCTCTCCTCCAGAGACACACCTCCAACCCCTCTACACTCACGTTATCATGAAGGAGTTATCAAGTAGATCGCACCATAATTAAGCACCATTAAGAGCAAGCGACGGACTAAATCGTCCTCGGCTCGAGTTGTAATCACCATTTTCTTGAATGCATCACAGAGAAGACACCCTTCTCTCCTTTGTCAGCACATTAGTAATAAAGGGAACGAATACAGTGACGTCTATATACGATGTAAACAAACAGCCGCTGGCTTTCCTCCAGTTCAATCTGCTAAAAGAACCATGGCACACTTCCCCTCCTTTTTGATTACTTCAGAGACAATTTCTTAAGTGAACCTTCAAAGGGCTGACTCGTCTTTACTCTGGGCAGATGAGAAACAGTGATGTATTAAGAATGAGAGCTTGTTTCGCTGCACAGTGCTTCAGCGTTTGATTAAAGTGATGCTCAGTTACTTTCTAGTTGAGCGACCATCTTGTCTTCATTATTTATCTTTTCCACAAGTGCTTGACAACTGCATTTTAGGGATCAATCTATTAACTAGATATATTTTCTCTCCCAAACATCGATAATGGTATCGGACACAAAAATACCATATCGGTCAGGCCCTAGTTCCTCATGCACAGACCTGGAGAGCGTGATGAAAACATGTTTGTGTTAATTTCACTCTTAAATTGACCCTTAAACTCAATTTCAGATTTAGAGTAACTGAAAGGCTGTTTGTTAGCCAACTAAATAAATCATGAATCAGTCCTGCAGCACCTAATGTACTCTATTGGACCACTAATGAAAAAGAAACAGATCCTCCAACTGAGTGACACCCTATGACCTCACATGACAAGGATCAATAGTGCACTTAGATCATCATGCACTCTCCAGGTGGTTAGTCACACAGCGGTGCACTCCAGGTATTGATCAGGAATGTGATTGTATTCTTAAAATTAAATTAAATTAAAGGTCACATAATGTCATTCTCTTCAGTTTAAATAAGTCTCAGAGCTCCTCAAAACGTGTGTGTGAAGTTTCTTGTTCTAAATCCACTCTGATCCTGTATTTGATCATGTCTATAAACCTCTCTATTTCAGCCCTGCTCAGAACAGGCTGTTTCTGTGTCTGTACCTTTAAATATGTAAATGAGCTGTGTTTGACCACGCCCCCTCTCTGGAAGGTCTTGGGTGTACTCGGTGCTTTCTCTCCATGTCTATTGTTTACGATGAGAAGGCAGACTCAGAGGGCAGAACAAACACCTAGCTGTGGGAGTGTCACCCACCTGGGGGAGGGGCTACTGCCCTTTGTGATGTCATGAAGGGAAAATCTCCAAACGGCCTGTTTGAGCACAAGGCAAAAGACAGAGAGGATGGACTTTTCTCATCATTGGGGGGTTTATAGACGGACTAGAGACTTTTCCTTGAAATGTAAACATGAATGTATTTCATGTGTTTTTCTTTTATGTGAGGTTTGAGATTTAACTCTCTGGAAAGCATTTCATTCAGGTGTTAAAGCAGTAATCAGAAATCTCTCATGAGATCTTTTTATCTTTTATGTAATGTTTTTTTGTAGTTGCACTAAATAGCATCAGGAAGATTATTGATAAATGACAGCTGTATCAGTATTGATTTCAGTATCGATGACATCCTAAAAATGCACATCCCTCGTCAGGGTCACACCCCTGATCGATGGTTTGTATTAGGATTGAGCAGTTGGATCCAGTTTTGCTAAAACTTTTTTTTTTTTTTTAGAGTCAATCTGAATGAAAACATCATCTTGTGTCAGAAGTTTTGATATCGATGACCACAGCAGGATGAGTCATGCTGAGATCACTGTGTTTTCAAGTCGACTGTTTACAAACATACAAACAACACCTTATATTACTACTACCACAACACGAGCTCACGGTGAAACACAAACATTAGACATGACTCACATCACATCCACAGCGCTGTCAGAGGAGATAATGTAATATCAGACTCGTGACTTATCCACTCAGGGACAAAGTAATGCTGTCATCCTTACTTATCTGCGTCTGCCGGTCTTTTACCGATCACAGTGAACAGCAGTCCCGTCTATTCCTGGAGCTCAAAATGTCTCGCAGCATTACACTGAATATTCCCAGACCGATCAAAGGCATGGCCGACATTATAAACCTGTAATGTCACAAGCCTTGGCCAACACATCCATTATGTCATTAGGGTCTTGAAAGCCTTGAAGTGGTCCTGGAGCTGTGGTTTGTAAAATCAATGCGAGGCCCTGGGTGTCTGAGGCTGGAATGGCAGCAGCAGCAGGGAAACCTGACACCAGCTCAGTCAATAGCCTACTTTCAACTACAGAGTCACGGTACAGTCAGACAGGCTTCACATACAGCCCGCACCCCTACCCACCCAAAAAAAACAGCATTTCTATGCTACATGTAAGCTGATAGGGGTGTACGTTTCAATCTTGCCAACAGTGTATTCAATTATGAGTGATAAATATTTTAAGCCCAGGCAGAGAGCCTGATTGAGTCCTCTTGAGACGGACAGGAGGCCTGTGGTTTAGTGGAGTCGTGGCTGGAAAGGCTGGAACCCGTCCACTCACATAATGAAATAGCGAGGATTTTGGCTAATGGACAGAGTGCTCGAGAGGCAGAGGGACCGCCGCCGCTGACCAGACTATCAACGCAGGCAGACAGTTGTTAGGATCCACAGAGGAGAACTAATGAGAACGGACTGTAAATCATATTCTCCAGAGAGGATAGAGGACAGAGATATGACCTGGACCAGAAACATGCAGAGCTAGGTGAACTTACAGTCAGGACGGGGAAACCTTTTCAGAATGTAGATATATTGATGCTCAGCTTTAAGAGTATTACTGAAATATATTAAAACAACAAACAAGCAGAGGAGGGTTCAAGTGGTCCCTGAAGAAAAGAACAACCTGACCAGTGCCCTTCAGGAAATTGAGTTTGGGATCCCTGACAAAGAGCATGGAGAGGATTCGATCTATCCTACCTCTTCAAGAAAGATCATTTTACAGCAAGGCTAATGGTAAGATCTGATGTACTGTACGACCACAGCAGCAGTGTTGAAAAGGTGACAAAAAATCCATCTGGAAGGCCATACACACGACATGAAATGACTTTTTATTACCCGACTGACTCCTAAAGCTTCAACCTCCTGAAACATGGAAACACGATGTAAACAATTCCTCAAACTTAACTCCATCTTTGGGAGACGTGCTTTTCATGAGTTTACTCGCACATCTTGGTCTTTATTTCAGTTGTTTTCAGTGAGTAGAGAGCGTTTGCAGCAGCAGGCAGAGTCTTTTCCGGAGCGCTCATTCTTTTTTTGTGCGGCTGCTTTGACCAGTGCTAAGCTGCACACCTCTTCAGACGGACTGTTTAGACCACCTCACTGAAGAACATATTTAGAATGAGTCCAGTTACTGTTATTGAAACATCCTCCTCTCATTTTTCCAACTGAGTCTGGAGACGTTATCAGTGAACAGCAGCATACGGGCATGTTTGCTTTACAAACATGGAACATTTCTGTCTAATCATTAACCATCTGTGCACTCCCCCTCATGAACTGACCACATGTGCAGCAGCTAATGCTGGAAAATGATTTTTTATAGCATAACAGATGGGTTTGTGCAAATAACATCCAGTATCTCATGTTCCATGTGTCTCACCTTAAATAATCTATTTCAACACTGAATCTGCAGTTAACTAACTGTGCAATACTCTGTGGGTTAATCCAACAATACTTTTCGTTAATATCGTCTTATTCTAGTGTTTATATTTAACTCACATTGCAACCCATTTCTCAGCATTTATCTTTGTTGGATGCACATATCTGTATAGTTCTTATTTTGTACAATGGATCTATTGATACCGCACAATTAAAGATACAATAAGGACAATTCAAATCATTGAGACACTAAATATGTTGCAATCCTCCTTTTCAACCAGCAGAGGGAGCTATCTGCATTTGGCTTCTTTTTCTGATGAAGAGACACGTACAGACTCGGCTGAAGCGAGTGCAGATTTTGAGGTTGTGATTTTGGCTTTTCTTAAGTAGGAGTGTAAGATCAAGGTGAGGAAACAGCAAAACAACTAAAACAGTGACAACAACAAAACAAGAGAGTGCTGAACGGTGCTAACAGCACTACGAACATGGTGCATGTAAGACGTCGCCTTGCTGAGAAGCTCCAGATACCAAAAACGTATTCAAAACATACGCTAGGAATTTAAAACCTCTTTCGCAAGAAACTAAGAGATGACCACGTGCAGCTATGTTTTATGGATTTGGGCTGATGATTAACCTTAGAGGAAGTTGTAACAACCCAACTGAAGATCAACGATTATTAAAGTTAAGACTTCTCATTCAAAGGAAGAAGGAACATATGGAAAAGAACTGAAGCTTTAGTAAACAGTCAGATCTTAAGTCTTTGTTAAACCAGAGCTGCCTCGAGCGGAAAAGAGAACAGTCTTAATCACACAAAGAGATCGTCAATGTTTGTTTTTGAGCAGTTTAGACCGTGCAGAAGTTTGGCTGCAGTTCTTGTTGCCACGGTATCGAAACAGGTCTCACAACCGTTTGTATTTTACCACCGTTATAAAAGTTAAAAAACCTGTTTTGATGATAACCAATATCTAGATTCCCGTCCTGAGAGGTTAGGTGTCGACCTCGGTCAGCTCACTCAATACAGAGTCACATGTCAGGGCAGAGAAAAGGCATGTTCACAGTGACATCATTCACAGCTGATGTCGTCACATGACATGGAAAGTACCTTCTCCAACATGTCCGTTCCTGTTTGGGGTGTTACAGCTCTGCTCTTCTAACAGAGCTCCTCAGCTGACCATGACAACGCAGGGCTGTAATGTGTTTGTGTGTGTTAGACACCTCCACCCCTGTTGAGTTTACAGATATCACACGTGTTTCTGGTGTGTGTGTGTAACCATGGTTCAGTCTCTTCCCTCCAGAAATGAACAAATGTGAGCACAGGGCCCGGTCACTGAGCTGTAAACATGAGCTCAGGACAGAGATGTCAACCACAGGGAATTACAGAAAGAGTTAGAGGCAAGGAAGTGGGGACTTTTAAAAAATGTTCCTTATATAGAGGCTGATGACTGAACACAAAGGAGTGACCAACAGTCAGAGTTCAGAAGGAAGACTGTGGAGAAGAATTACAATCTGTACTCAGACTGACCAAGGAAGGGTTAAATGTAGGGATGTGTACGATCAGTCAACGAGACCATGAAACATTTTAAATGGATCATGATAACGCAGGGCTGTAATGTGTTTGTGTGTGTTAGACACATCCCCCCCCGTTGTGTTTACAGATATCACGTGTTTCCGGTGTGTGTGTCACCATGGTTCAGTCGCTTCCCTCAGGACGAGGAGAGCGCGTCAGAGTGTGTATTTACATTTGATGTGTGACAGAGGGGGATGTTGTCTCCTGTAAACCTGGAGTCAGACTTCACAGCACACACTCACTCAGCGCCGTGTGACTCCAGACTCATCATGGGTTTGCAAGCAGGACAAATAGTCCTTATCTTATGAAGCAAAAGATAAATGGCGTGTAGTGGTGTGGGAAAGATATCAAGTTTCATCTTCAGCCACACTCAGTCTAAGCAGCAGTCGACGGACATCACTTTAACGGTGTGAGGTCATCACTTCACTCGCTCGTTAAAGCTCCTGAGAGGAATATTTGGGTTGTGTTGATTTTGATCTCTGTTTGTACAACAGGGGAGAGAGAGTCGGGAATGACATGCAGGAAAGGAGCCACAGGTCTGAGTCTCTATACATGGGGACGCCACAGTGCTCGCTTTTGACAGTCAAATGTATCGCTTAAAGAGGATATTTAGCATAAAAAAGGCTATTATAGCAGCATGCTAATAATCAACTCATCTGACAACCTGCTGCAAAAACTTTATAGAAAAAGTCCATCTTCTTCCTGATGGTGTGGTTTGTTTTTTTCAGGTAAGAAAGCGGCTTAAGACATTGCCCCAAATTCTCCCAAAAAGGTAAAACCCATTTAGATTATTGCATTTAAAAAAAATCTCTTATAATCCAGTTAATCATTGCTGTTAGTTTGACCACTACTCTCTCTCTTTTTTATCTCAAGCAGCTTATGGTTAAAAATATGACTGAAGATCTAAAGTTTTTTTTTTTTAAAGCATTGTTTCTTTTCGTTACTATCAATCAATCAAATAACAGAGATTGTATCATTTTAAAACACGTGGCATCAAAACGTATTGAAAGGTGTCAGGAGTTTTGACAACCGTAAGATCAAATAACCTCATTAGACAGAATTATTTGAGCTCTCTCTTTTTCACTCGCTGTCGTTTTGATATTCTCAACAAGGACTGAAGAGAAACTACACCATGTGCCTCTAAAGTTCCATTGTGTGGAAACCTTGAATTAAAACAACCTAATTTTACTGGATTCTAGAGCTTCCTTCTGCCACATAAAAACTAAAATTGTACTAAAATCTCTCTGACTCGATGTTTATTTTTGGCTCTCAAAAGGGACTGATGGGAAACTGCCATATGTGTCTCTACAGTAATTAAGAGATTGTCATTGGTTCCTCTTGTGTGGAGAAAAAAGTAAGCCACGCTGAAAAAAAGTGTTGTTAGTGTCAAAATCAGCCGCTCGTTTTTCTTCTCCTTTTCTATTTCGAGCACTTCAACGACTCTCCTGAAAAGCTTGTATCGAGGGAGCTTAAATAAACCCACTTCTTGAAATGAACAAATGTGAGCACAGGGCCCGGTCACTGAGCTGTAAACATGAGCTCAGGACAGAGATGTCAACCACAGGAAATTACAGAAAGAGTTAGAGGCAAGGAAGTGGGGACTTTTAAAAAATGTTCCTTATATAGAGGCTGATGACTGAACACAAAGGAGTGACCAACAGTCAGAGTTCAGAAGGAAGACTGTGGAGAAGAATTACAATCTGTACTCAGACTGACCAAGAAAGGGTTAAATGTAGGGATGTGTACGATAAGTCAACGAGACCATGAAACATTTTAAATGGTTTCTCGTCTTCTGAATACTCAAAGCTCTTTTTCACTGCAGGTCACACATACACATTCACACACTGATGGTAGAGGCTGCTGAGTAAAGAGTCATCAGTATTAACTCATCCATTCATACACATTCATACACCGCTGATGAAGCTGTGGGAGCAACTTGGGGTTAAGTTGCCCAAGGACACATCGGACATATGGCTGCAGGAGCTGGGGATCAAACCCCCGACCTTCCAGTTGAGAGACGACTGACTCTACCAACTGAGCCACAGCCTCCAGTCTGTACCAGTACAACTAGCTGGTTAACTAATGATTCATATTTGTATTAATGAAGGATCAACCATGTCTGTAATAATGTTGTGTCTTATCTGCTAACTTACTTCCTGGTTTTAGAAGTCATTCCTGTGGCGCCCTATCGACCCGCACAACGGAGAGCTCTGTGAGCGTAGTGACATTTAACCCCCGACACTGAAGGTGTTTTTACACTTAGGACGCTGAGCGCTGAAAACAAAGAATTGCTCTCGTATTGGAAATGGGCGCCACCAGTGTGATAAGCGCCGTTAGTGGACACGGGGGGATGGTCTAAGTGTGATACTTCGGGTGTTTCTCACACTGCTGTGAATGTGAGCTGCCGACCTTCTTACACAACAACATCCTTCCTCCTCAAGACTTCAGAATGTGCTTAATCACACTTCCTCTTACTACAGCAGTGCACAGCGTTCACCTCGACAGTATTTAAATCGACAGTTCAACCAACCAACGAGTCATCTCGAGATACACTTTATGAACGAGTCAATCATCTTCCTTCGCGTGTCCGCAGTAGGTCGATGTGGTCAGAGCTGTGAAAAGATGATTGTGACAGTCTCAGAGGCTGAAAGAGGAACTGACCTTCAGAGAACTTCCTCATCACTTCTTCTTCTTCTTCTTCTTCTTCTTGTTAGGTTTACATGCATCTTCCCTCTGAGCTCCTAAAAGACACAAAACAAAGTGACTGTTAGTAAACCATGACTGTTTACTCTACCCATATCAAGTAAACCCCCGGGCTTTTATTGACTTTATGAAATGACCCTGCCTTTATTTGGGACAGGCGTCAGTAAGACTACTGCAGGACGTCGTTGAACAGTTATGAACTTAATACGCATTGCTTTGTTCGGCCTTTAGAAGTTAAAAGTAAACTAAAGTCAGGCTCACTCTGCAGGATCATCGGGCCGATTTGAGCTCCAATTCTTCCCGACAATCTCAGGGTCTCACCCGACTCGAGGCTGCTCAGACCCGATTCTCTGCTCAGATTATCTCGTAGTGTGAGCGGTCCAAAGATCCAATCTTAACGTCCCTGATCTATTTCAAACATGTTTGATATTTAGAATTTAAAATCTGGACGTTTACATCATGAAAGTGTTCGGCAGAAGTCGTGTGACTACAATATAATCACGAGAGACAAGGGAGGACTGTAGTCATGGCGACCAGCGGCAGGACACAACCCGTTTTTTTTTTTGTTTGTTTTCTGTACAGATCATCAGTGCAGCACTTTTCTAAAACTTGTCTCCATATATCTACGATTGTATCAACTTTTCTATATCCTACAACAACTTCCACTTCCTTCTCTTTCACCAACCGCCGTCCTTTTGATTTTGTAAATGAAACTTTATTAACAATTGTCAACGCTCCGTCCCGATTTCACTCGTACAGTGTGAGCACGTCAATCTGAAGGTCTGGTCGGGTGTCGTAAACGATTCGGTCGTACAGTGTGAGCTGACATGACACCCCAGACTTTTATACAATCGGGGGGAAATAGCACAGTGTGAGCCAGACTTAGCATATTAAGATCATGACTCATGTTCAACAACGTCCTAACTGACTATCAATAAGCAGGAATCAGGAGGTTAAACTCTTACTTAATGACCGGTTAGCTTAAGAACATGTTCATATAGAATGAGGTACTAATAAGCGCTATTGCTACTAATTAGCATGCTAATAAGCAACTGGTCAACAAGTCTGATAACCAGGATGTAAAGCATGTCCATGTGAACAAACAGAACATGAGCAGCGTTAAAACATTCAGAGATGAATCTGCTTGGATATCTTTAATGAGACTTTATAAATGTATTTCCAGTAATGACATTTGGAATATGTAGATATTATTATCGGTTTTAGGAGCATCTTATAGACAGTGGATTCAGGGTTTGTGACTCTGTTGGGTGTTTTGCGACACAAGGTCTCTTGCCAGTTTAAGGTCAGCTCTGTGTGTTGTGAACAAACCAGCCTGACGACAGTTTTTTCCAGGCGGGGGTTAATCTGGGTGAACGCTGCTTGCTGCATGTACAGACAGAAGGCAGAAGTCGTTATGACATTACTGTGAGACTATAGAGTCTTCAAGGAAAGGCTAACTGTTTCTGCACTGGTGATGTCACTGCATCAGGACGACCTGCTGTGTCCTAACCACGCTGAGCTTTGTTTCATCCAAACTGTATCTGCAGTCTATATCACTCTGACAGCTTAAAAGCTTTTGTAAAAACATATTCATTTTTGTGTAGAATCAAAATGTAATCAGGGTCACACAGTTAATCACAATTTATTTTAGGGCTTTAACATTTGCAGAAATACTCCTGATATTCAGAGGAGGAGCTGTAAATGTGAATGCAAACAGACAAATGTTTCTCTCTGACTTCACCCGGAGTTTCTCCTCCAGCCTCCTCGTCTTTATTCTGCAGAAAGTCAGAGTGAGCTGATGAGAGAAGGCAGCAGGATATTATCAGGAGAATTCACTTGGAGCCAGTGGGGAGTGCAATTAAATACTGTGGTTGTCTGCAGGGTGCAGTGTCCTCCTGAAATGATCTAGATCAGGGGTGGGCAACTGGCGGCCCGGGGGCCACATGCAGCTCCCATCAACCCTCAACGTGGTCCTCAGGTCAATTTTCACATATCAATTAATTTGAAACATGAAGAAAACATGACTAAACCTGCCATGAAATCATGAAAAGCAGAAATATGTCCAGGATAATATTAGAGAAATCTGAGACATAATTGACTGTAATCGTTTTTGTATCCAACAATTTGGCCCCCTGGCAGTGAGAATTAAATGAATGTGGCCCTTGCTGTGACCAAAGTTGCCCATCCCTGATCTAGATATTTTCAGGAGTGTAGATGTGAACATGTTTTTTGTGATTGCCATATGAGCATTTGTAAATTAACACAACGCAGAAGTCTAAATCTACAAGGGAAAGAAAAGGTGTTTTATATAAAGAGGTTAACACATTAAGGAGGGGCACGTTTGACCTGTTGATTGGACGCCTGGGTAAAAAGGTCACTTCCTTTCAATCATGTTGATGCAGTGAAGCTAAGAATATTTTGGTGATAATTCAGTGGAGAAAAAAAAAAAAGGCTTTTGGATTGAGTTTGGATTCAGGAGAGACAAGTTGAAACAGGAACTGTTCAAACCTGAAGCAGCAGACAGATAAACCAACTGTGATCCTCTGAGCCCACATCACATTTTGTTTCTCACAGATTGTGGCGGCCTGAATAAAAAAAAAAAAAGTACTGTCATCGTTGGGCCTGTGACCATTAACACCTTTTTTAATCTGTACTGGCATCTCTCGCATCCTCAATTTTAGAGCTCGTCTCAGGCGCTTAGCTTACTGTTGCTAGGTTACGAAAGTTGTTTGACAGTTTCCTGCTTCCATAAGGTCCGTTTTAAAATTGCACTGTAAACTTAATTCGCTTTAAATCAAGGTTATTCCACTAAAAGGAATTGTGTCCTGACATCAGCAGCAGCTCTAAATGTGAAAGTAGTACCCTTGAGTCAGAGTTTTTTTGTTTCTCCTCCGCCATTGTTGACAAAGTCGATAGCAGAAGTCCCACCCCTTCTTAATTTTGATTGGTCGGTGAGGTATAAGGTACATTGACAAGCACGGCAGTAATCCAAAAGTTTAACTATTTTCTACTGAGAGTGCGGAGAGAAAAGAACAGCTGACGCAGAAGGCGTTTTTCCGCTCACGACGCTGAGCGCTGAAAACACTGAAATGACTTTGTAGAAAATTAAGCACAAATAAAGTTAATAATGAACTCAGGCCCATAATTGACAGAAAATATAAGTCCCTGAGGAGTGCATGACAGCAGCAGCGTATGAAACACACTATGGGGTTTTGACTCCATACAACGCCGTCTCTTATTTTGGAAAAGTTCCTTTCTTCTTCATGCTTTAATTCAGACAATCCACAATCCAAAGTGACGCCATTACTCTCACAAAAGAAATGCTGAATCATGGAAGATTCATCCCCGTCAAGTTGAACGTCCCCTAATGAAGCGCATGTGTCTGAACAAACCGAGCTGTTGTACAAGTCGCACGCTGTAAATAAGAGACCATAAAGGACTCAGTGTGAGGCAGCTCCACAGTGCTGTGGCCAGCAGCCAGCTGGCAGGTCGCCATGTCAGTGAAGAGGAGTGCTCTGTTTTAACCAGACCTTTTTTTAAGACAAACATAGCGTTTGATGGCAGCGGTGACACGACATCCTCCTGATAAAGCCGAAACTAACACTTTCTAAAGGTTATCTGCTTTGTCTGTCTGTACCTGCTGTTATCTGATGGGTGCAAAAACTGATCATGACGGTGCAGAGAGTCTTTACAGCCAGCAGGAGATGTGTAGGTAGGAGGAGTGTGACTTTCACTGGGGTGTGTGTGCGCGCTCTAAATAGTCAGAGCAACAATCGAAACTGCCCCCTCACTCTTCACTTACCACCACAATCTCTTTAAAGATGAAGACGACTCTCTAAACAAAACCTTGCTTCTTTACATATCCCATTACCCCTCTTTGGCTGACAGCAGCACTTCTGTGCCTCAAACAGATCGATAGTTCCATTTCAGAGTAATTCAAGTTCACCATCCAGTGTGTGCATCTTGTTTGAAAGCACCTTGGCTTCAGCCTCACCATTCCTGAGACTGTTTAAAACATTGAAACATTTTTTTCCAGGAGCTTGCATGCCCAAACCTGCACAGTGTGCAAGCTGCCGTGCAATACCTCGACAGCCTCGTTCCTCACAATCTGATCCTAATCTTCTTCATAATGTGTAGACACCAAGCACCAACCCCCAGTGTTAAAAAATGATTGCAATGCGGAAGAGCAAAAACAGTTCCTTTAAGAGTTAGTTAGAGATAGTTCTTATAACTAGAGATAGTTCTTATAACTATTAATATGTGGGGCAGGTTTTAGCAGTGGACCAAACCACTGTCAGGCAAGGGGGGGACCTGATCTTTAAAAACATAAAAAACTAATTGTTTTCGTCATTATTTAGCACAACTGTTTTCAATGCATATTATTATATCACTCAAATTTATATATTTACATGCTGAAGATGAACACATGCAACAGGGGTGGCTGTGGCTCAGTTGGTAGGTGGGGGTTCGAGCCCCAGCTCCTGCATGTTTAATTTGTCCTCGGGATGTGACGGACTCTTTACACAGCAGCCTCTACCATCAGGGTGTGAATGTGTAGCTGTGACCTGAGGTGTAAAAGTGCTTTGAGTAGTCAGAAGACTAAGAAAGCGCGGTACAAGCTGAAGTCCATTCACAATGCAGCAGTTTGCAAACAACAGGCTGAAGACGCTTGCAGAGTCGTATTTGCACAAAATCCGGTAAATTACCGTAAGTGTTTCTTGTCAGTTGACATAGCCGTCTATCTCACAGGGTCTCTGCTGGCATAGCGTCATGTTCTTGTAAACAGATGCATGTTGTGTACGAGGGGGAGGCGTTACAGGACGCTGTGTTTTTACGACAGTGCAGTTGACCTCAGCGACCTTCGTTGGATGCCAAATGCACCAAAGCAAATTCCTACTTCTTGAGTCTTTAAAACGCCTCTTCAGAACAAACGCGTCACACACTCTGCCTGTGTTTAAATACACTCTATGGTACACTTGTAAAAATAGGTACAGCTACCCTGTCATGTTCCTGCCTTGGCCACTTGTGCAACACGTGTGTGTGTGTGTGTGTATACATGTGTGAATGTTGCAGTGAGTCAACTGCTAAGAGTTTAGAAACAGAAATGGGCCAGCTTGGCTGTGTTGGAGATGAGAAAGAAACAAAGCGGTGTGTACTCTCACGTACTGTCTTGTGGTGCCAGACAGAATGTGAGCTAAAGACATTTGGTCCTCTCGTGGATCTCGCTAGAAAAATAGCAGGCAAGAATGAGCTGTTTCTGAGCTGCAGTAAAAAATAAAAAAATAAAAAATAAAAGGTCTCGGTGCAGCACTGAGAGGTTCACAACAGAGCTCCACAGAAAGCCTTTTAAGGGTAATGAGTCTGAGTTTGAAAACATTTCCGGAAGGGGGGGTCAAAATATTTGGGAATTATGTATCACGCTCTGTGAACGATGGTTGACATGGGAGTGTAGGAAAAAAAAAAAATCCAAAGCCTCTGTTCCAGCTCCCGTTACTGAACTGGGATGGTTTTCAAAGAAGGGAAAAAAATGCACAGTATTTATCTGGGCGTGTTCCCATGCACCAGCAACACCAGATAAGAGATTTGTGGAATGAAAGATGGAGGAGATAAAAGGATCTGAGCGCGACTCCGGGACAGTCTGAGAGCTGCTGAAGGGAAGAGGACGAGAGGTTAACACGGGTGAAATTAGCGAACATCACTCAGGCTTTCATGTGGGACCAAATGGACTGCGGTACGTTTTTGAAAGGGAGGTAACAATGAAGAAATTGAAACCTCAGAGCAGATGCATTCTCTTAACTGCACAAAAGAACGATCAATCTATTAAACCGCTTCACAGTTTAGAGGCGAGCTGTCGGGAAGTCCATTAGGCACCCTGAGGATTCTGTAAACCACTGGAAAAAAAATAAACAACACCCCTTGAAAACAAAGTTCAAAAACCGACTGAATATCCTGTGTGGAAACATCAACATAAAAACAAGACATCTATGTGTGACCCTCAGAGCTCATTTGCTGATTCTGGTGACGCTGTTGACCTTCTGACTGAACTAATGTTTCCTTCTCGTCACAGAGTGTAAATGTTCTCATTTGTGCTGGGTCACAGTTTCCTCTTGTCACAGTCCGTTAACTCTGTGACAGGTGTGCCTGTGGTGCACACATCACACCAGTTCACCCATGCAGAGGCAGCCACAGTGCTCACATCTACGTTTCATCTTTTTCTACGTTGCAGTCACAGCTGCAGAAAGTTAGTGTGATCAGCTTATAGACTGCAATAAGAGACACCATGCTGACTCCATTATTCACTGCTTTCTCTATACCGCATGTGCAGCGTGCATGTGCACAAGATCATATCAGGGGTTAATGGTAACTATGACGACTAAATCAAATTGTGAGTTAATTGAAGACTCTGAGATACGACAGGTCAACAGACACATGAAGAGAAGGTGACATGAAGACTGTCGCTTCATTCTTTAAGCTTATTTTACGTCTGACATTTTTGTTTTTAGGTATTAACAATATAATGCTCCCATATTGTGTGTCCTATAACAGAGGGGTGTGTGTGAAGAGAAACTATAGATAACACACAAGAGTCACACATTTTGAGAAATACTGCCGGTATTTGATTGGTGTTGTTTTAAGAGGTGAAGATTAATTTCTTAACTCATTAAAAGAGTAGTGTTGAAAACTGCATTTTCAAATGATTCAATCTGTTATTTTAATGATCAATAGTATCGAGGTTTCCTCACAGCGAGGAGGTTCCTGGTCCCGCACAAACTCAAATTGGAAAAGCGGTAAAGATAATGGATGGATGGAGGGATGTAGTATCAAGGTATCGAAGCTTTTAAAAAAAAAAACAGGTTTTATTCATATTTACCAAAAGATGTGAGAGAAGGAGATAGAGGTGGTGGTCCTAAAGATGCACAAAGTTGAGTTCAAGTGGGCAAGGGTCTAAAGTGCACGACTATGTTTGCAACGTCTACAAAATGTGACTTTGGGGTGCTGGTGGCGCAGTGGTTAGTGCGCGCGCCCCATGTATGGAGGCTGTCGTCTCAAGCGGGCGGCCCAGGTTCACATCCCACCTGTGGCTTCTTTCCTGCATGTCATTCCCCTCTCTCTCTCTCTCTCTCTCTCTCTCTCTCTCTCCCTGATTTCCGACTCTATCCACTGTCCTGTCTCTACATTAAAGGCACAAAAAGCCCAAAAATAAATCTTTAAAAAAATGTGACTTTGTATTTATGCAGAACAGAAGTTTGCCTGCAATTTTTGATCACAAACAATACATGATCCAATATTGGATGCCTTTGACTTATTCTAACCAAACAGGTATCGATGATGTTTGATTTCTAATACTATCATTGAAGTTAATAATTTTGGTATTGCAACATCCCTAACAGAAACTGGGATGAATACAAAATGCAGATTCCATTATTCTTATACATAAAAAGTAAGGTTCTTTTATTATGACATGTAGTTAAAAAAAAAAGCACAATACATGAGCGGCGGTGGCCTAGTGTTTATTTCACACACCACATGTACAGAGGCTGCAGTCCTGAGAGCGGGTGGCCCGGGTTCAAAATTGGACCTGTGCCTTCTCTCTCTCTCTCTCTCTCTCTCTCTCATTGCAGACTATCCACTGTCATGTCTCCCTAAAAAACAGATAAAAAGCACCAACAAATGATTCTAATAAGTGAACCGCTTCACAACACAGTGGATCAACACATCCTTATAGTGCAAGTGATCAAGTATCAAACTGATAATGATGACTTATAAGGATATTTGTCGTTATTTAAAGGAGACAGTATTTATGGTAAATGTTCATTTATTAAACACTTCAAAGAGTCAGAGGACTTTTCTGATGTCATGTTGCATATTTAGTAATATTATGATAATGATTACAATGACGATACTGACCACACCCCCCTCCTCTGTTTCACCATCATGGCCACAGCAGCACTGTGAGCATGACCTCAGTGTTAATCATGTTGGTAGAGCGAGTGTGTACCTGACAGAGGTGACAGAACATCCTGGATACATTTAAAACAATAACACCTTCATTAGTCAGACTATTGACCTGCAGATGACACCACTGATTTAAATCCACTCTCCAACGCCTGGTAAACAACACTGAGTGAGACACACTAACCTACATTTTGATTTTACACTATATTCCAGTGTTTACACTGTTAAGACTAAAAAACACATCATTCTTTTCCTGAAGGCTAAGTGAGTATGCTAACACAAATGTTTTATATTTAATGCAGAGGACTCCTACATATACTTTTTTCAATATAAGCTATATAATCCTGTTTGTTGTTTTGGAAAGTTGCTATGTAAATAAAGTTTCTTATCATTATTATTATTGGGGATGCATCGCTTCATTATCGGTATCGGCCCTGTTGACAGACATCGGCACAAAGGCAGATAATGTAGCATGAGCTGATGTTTATTTGTTCTGCCAAATCAATTTAATGCTAACATCCAGTACGCCTAACTACTGATTCAGAGAGGAGGGTTTTTATTGGACAGATGAAGTCACCTGTTGGACTAACTCTGACTTGTTTTCATGTTTAAAGTGAGAGATGACCAAAAGAAGTCATGAAACAAACATCGGTATCGGCCCTGAGTTTCCCCATACACACATGTCTAAAATGTTTTTAAAAGTTGATTTCAAGTCTTTATTTAGAGATGGGACCATGGATAGACAGAGTCAGAAATTAGGGGGACAGAGCGGGGAACGACGTGCAGCAAAGGAGCCACAGGTCGGATTTGAACCTGGGCCGCCACCTTGGAGGACTACAGCCTCCGTACATGGGGCGTGTGCTAAACCACTAGGCTACCAGCGCCCCTTTTTTTTTATTATATCTGAATCATTAAGGAAAATAAACAATTTCACAATCTTACACTTAGATTTAACCATGTTGCATCTGAGTAGTTTGTTTCTGTGAGAAGTTATAACAATTAAGAGAAATGGTTTAGATAAAAAAAAGTTTATCAAAAGAAAACAGGACTCCTATTTATTTATTTATTTTATTATTATCAGTTTGAACTATCAATATATTTCGTACCTGCAGTAACTTTTAATAATCAATTAAATAAAAAACTGTTTTCTAATCGTCCCCTCTAACAGATACAGGGATATGGCTCAGCGGAATCCAAAGTTTCACTTCCCTGGACTAGAAAGTACCTTTAACCCCCATAGACTCGTATTTATATCATTTCTGCATTAATATTTAAAGAAAGAAATAAACACAGTGTGTGGAAATGTCCTCCTGCCTCCGCTAAGACACAAACATAAGGAGCAGTGTTATAAGAAATGAATGAATTGTTTGGCAGGTTGTGTCTATATTTAACGTTAAGGGGATTAAGGGGAGGAAACATGAGATGATTATTGGTATCTGTCCCGGCGGGTAGAGCAACAAAGGGCTTGCCGAGGCTTGCCTTCAGCGGCTTGTGAACACCACACGTTGTAAGATAACATTTTAAGTATTAAGGTAGTTTAAGTAACTCGGTTTTTATGACCTATCGAACAAGCTTGGACTAACCGTAATGTAACAGTCACACAGAAATATTAACGCGGTTGCCTAGCAACATTGTTTAAAAGACTTAACGGCGGTGTCCGTTTGAAACACGTAAGTAACCGTTGACCCGACGTTTTTTAAGTTAACGTTTAACTTTTAACGGCTCCTGAAACAAAAACAAGGTGTGAAGAGTTTAATTACACTCACCTGCGGGGAGAATGAACCAGTTTATCATTCATTAGCAGACAGGTTTTTAATCCGGAATGTTACGATACTGTAGTTGGTTACAGTGTTCTGTGTGTCACTGCTTCCCTCCTTCTCGTCTCTCTTCCAACATCCTTCACTGCAGCTCCGCGGAGGAGCGGAGGGGGCGGGGCTAACGTCACAGAGGAGACGAGCCAAGCCCCGCCCAACAACGGCCGGCCACATGCTAGAGTGTGAGAAACGAAACTACGGAAGTCCCCGCAGTCCTAAATACATCAGAAACTCAAACTACATGTGGAGAAACCAGAAACCCGAGTACACTCTAAGAGATTAAAAGGACATTTCAACAGTATGATCCTGTTATGTTTCAATACAGGACATTACTGTATTATAACGGTTTAGAACACTATTTTACAGTATTATTGCTTGAAGGAAACAAAACGGTAATTTACCGAAATTTTTGCAAAGCATTTTGGGAAAAAGAAGTTGAGACCACATGGTTGAAAGGACAGTGGGCAGGTTGTTTATTCAGTTATGAAACTATAACATATTTTTTTTCACTTCTCTGTTTAAAATGTAAGTACCAAAACTCTTTTATGCACTTTATGTACATTGGAAATGGCCTTTGCTAAACGCCTTGATGTAAATATTTGTATGGGATTCTTTGCCGATTTAACCTTCATGTTCTTGAAGTGTATTTTTTTGTTTAAAATAACAGCTTTTTGCTGTATTTACAAAAACGGTAGAAAACTGTAAATTTCAGCAACAGCAATATATCGTTGATTTTACAGTAACTTCCTGGCAACCCTACTGCCAGTTGTTTACGGTTTTTTAACAGGGGAATTTGTAAGAACAGATGAAAAATGGCTTTAATGCCTAAATATGTTTCATGTACACAAAGGACCAAGTTATCATACAAGTTGTCAAACATCTCCCTCCTCGACTTTACTGCAATTCATTATCCACCTGTCTCAGTCAAAACAAAAGCAATCCACCGCCTTTAAATAATGCAAAATTAATTCAGCACCAGCAGCCTGGCTTCTAACAAAAAACTATTTTAGTATCCCCTCACTGGTTTGGCAGAGTTAGGATTAATTTTAAGATTATTTTAATTACATTAAAGGTCACATATCCTCCTCCTCTTCTTCAGTGTAAATAAGTCTCAGAGCTCCTCAAAACATGTGTGTGAAGTTTCTTGTTCTAAATCCACTCTGATCCTGTATTTGATCATGTCTATAAACCCCTCTATTTCAGCCCTGCTCAGAACAGGCTGTTTCTGTGTCTGTACCTTTAAATATGTAAATGAGCTGTGTCTGACCACACCCCCTTTCTGGAAGGGCTTGGGTGTACTTGGTGCTTTCTCGCTCCATGTCCTATTGTTTACGGTGAGAAGGCAGACTCAGACTGTCATGAAGGGAAAATCTCCAAACAGCCTGTTTGAGCACAAGGCAAAAGACAGAGAGGATGGACTTTTCTCATCATTGGGGGGTTTAAATAAACAGGAGGCATATTGATGATTTTTTTTATATTCATTTAATTTACAGGTCAAATTATTTCACAAACATTTAAATCATGTTAAAAATCAACATTATTCAACAAAACATATCAAATTAAATATTCCACGAGTGTGTTTATAAAAACAGCTAAGTTATTATATATCCATAATTGTACCCTTTATGACAGAAATCAACCGTTTTGAAAGTCATACAGACACGTTATGAGCAGATATTCACAATCAGCTTCTTTAGGCACATTTTTATTATTTATCATATGATCAGGTTTACAGTTCACAGAGAGGCTCTGAATCAAAACTCTCTCTCATTACACAGTCATCTAAACGAGTCCATCTGTTACCACTTATAAACATCATCATCATCAACTGTTCAGGCTCTGTCAGAAAAATAGAACAACTCTATGATACATTTGACAGCTAAGTTAATTCATACTAATTTTATTTGTTATAAAAACAGGACAGATCATGTAGAAAAACATGATCCAGTTAGCGCACGATAATCAGTCAGCTGGATTTTGAACATTAGAGCGCACTAAGAACGGTTCATCGTAGCTTCAGAGTTTGAAATGTGTTTGATTAGAAGTAAAAAAAAAATAGGAGAAAGTCGATTGAGGTTTGGACGTCATGTATCCGCCTCACACAACAGGGAGGGAGAATACTAACTCACATGCACAGTGCACACATCTCTTTAACAAACTTCAACATCCTCTGTAAAAGCCTTCAGGCCCACAAACACTTTCACTAACATGCGGATGCACAGACTCGTCTCTAATCAGGAGACAACATGTAGATTTTAAAAACAAGTGCTGCTTCTTGTGTAGTGGATTATCACATTCATTAAAGAGAAGAAGAAGTGACAGGTGTTGGGCTTGGAATGAAAGCGGATTGTTTTAGCTTTTTGATTGGATAACGACTGAAATATTTCAGCAAGATTTATTTATTTTTTTTAAATGGAGACCTTTGTGGATGTTCCTCCCTCTTTAAAAAACAAAAACATAAACGCTCTCTGACCTCCAGGAGGATGAGAGTAAATCATGCAGTTTGGGTTACGCATCAACTTAAGGCTGAGAGGAAGAGTCAGATCAAATGTAAGACAATGACTGTTAAGGCCTGAGTAGTAAAGAATTCTCTCTGTTCTGAAGAATGCATGTTTTTTTTATTTGTTGTATTTTAACCCTTTGGTGTTTTCACACATGCACAAACATCCAGAAAACTTCCTGAACTTTTCGGGATCAGCTGCAAGTGTGAGAGCAAACCCCCTAACTTCCCCCTCAGACGTTTTCTGGATTTTTTACTGCGAGCCCCCCAGTAAATACATCCATGTAGCATTGATATAAAGACTAAACTGTCATCATAGTGTCGGACTCTGTCCACCTTGGATCTTTTGGATTTTTTCAGCGTGTTTTTTACATCATGTCTGGCGCCCGATAGGAAACACTTCCTGCCGTGATTAAGCAACTGAGGAAGATTTCAGGGGGAAACTGTCCTGAGGTTTTCTAGAGATTTTCAGGAGTGCATGTGTGTAAACAGCTGTTGTCAAACGTTCATAGTTAGGTTCTGAACTTGGGAGGAAAACAGAAAAGGCTCGTTTTAAGTGACTCACACAGGGGAGCCATGAAGGAAAGACGAAGGGGAAATTAACTTCTAAATTGATTCATCCAAAGGAAACGTGCCACTTTAAGAACTCTTAAAGCTTTGTTGTGCTGGAATAACGACTTCATCGAGACTTTTAGATGTAAATGTGAGTCCAATTCCCTCCATAATGACACAGACCTCCCATTGATTTAGCTCCTCTTCCCCCTCCCATCATCCCCGATCACCAATAAGAATCAAGCTTTCAGTACACAGGGTACTTCAGTGAATGTTAGATTGGACCACTTATAGAGAGAGTATGCTGGTGAGTGACGACCGTCATGAGGATGATAAGAGACGGTTAAGGAGGGCGGAGCTGGAGGGTCACAGCCAGGGGAACAAGGTGCAGGAGTCGGCTCACAGTTTGGCGCGCAGAGGCTTCAGGTACTTGTGGAAGGATTCATGGACCTGAGGAAGGAAAGAAAGTTTGAGTAAAACATTCAGATGCCTCCAGTGTCTGTGTCGTCTGTAAATAATGACCTTGATGTGATCTCTCCTCGGTCGTCTATACTGAAGTAGTCAATGAAACTTTTACCAAAGTACCAGCCATGCTTTGTTTTAATGAAGCTCTCATGTTCAGTCAGGAAGACTTTGTTGCCTTCATGGTCGCTCACTCACATATCTGCTCTCATTCTCTCGAGCTGTCTCGTCAGCTGGCCTCATCTAACCTATTGCATGACGTTCCTCTGTCAGCCAATCATCGTTCTCCTCTCCTTCTAAATATGATTCTCTCTGCTTTAGTTCCTTCATGCAGATGTTTTCTGCTCCCCATCTCTCTCTCTCTCTCTCTCTCATAGAACAGAGAATAATAACCCTCAACTTATTTCAGAACGTGTGAAACTGAAACCAACAACCTGGCTGCTCTGATCACCAAATCAATCACAACCAGTACCGTTGCCATGGCAATAAGGCTGAGCAGTAATCCAATCGGATGGATAAGAATGGGGGTGTTTGTATAATTTCATGCCTGTGGGTCTGACTGACCTCTGTGGCGTTCAGAGGTGAGTTGCGAGCCCACTCGAACAAGTTCTCGTAGACGTTCCCGTCGTATCGTCCCAGCACCGAGTTCAGCTTCTTGTCGTTGTGGTCAAAGGCGTCCACCAGAGCCACGGCGTTCAGCCTCAGCTGAGACAGCAGCTCCTTGATGCGGACTGAAGACTGCAGCACCTGGGGCACGCTGAGCAGGCCAGCCTGGAATACAACACGAGAAGATGAGGGTTAAAAAGTGCAAAGAAAGAAAGTTAAAGAAGCTGACTGTGTAACAACGATTGATCTGACCTGCAGGAAGTCTCCAGAGTTCCTTGTGACACCCTGCAGGGCGTAGAGCAGAGCCAGGCTGGACAGCACCGAGTGGACGCCTGTGTCCCCGATGTCCCGCAGCTTGTCAGTGAAGAGCTTCACCACCACGTAGTGACAGTGAGCCTGGAGAGATACAGAGAGATAAATATAAACATGAGCAGAATGTGACCCATCCACATGTCGGCCTCAGAGCTCAGCCTCATTCCAGGAATTCACTTTTAATCTGTGAATGAAGCGCTCTCAAAAGCTTTGGAGATTCTTGTAACCACATTTCATTTTCTTAATTTAAATACATTGAAACTCTCTGTCGGCCCTCCTCAGCTGTCCAGTCAAATAATGTCAAAAAACAACTTACTGACTAAACATACATTTTGTTTTTCCGTAACCTGACCAGACGGGATTAGAAATGTAAGAATCAAGGTCTTCCACCAACGTGCATCTAATCTGTCTGCCAAAGTATAAGCAAGCACGAGCGCAAAAAACATCCTGTAATCGTTAAAAAGTAAAACTCTTCCCCAAAAACACACATACGGATCAGAACTTACATCTGAGGCTCTGACCAGGTCGATGGCGCTGTTGTTCCAGGCGTCCTCCTGGCTCTTCCTGCGCTGCAGCTCCTGCTGGATGCTCTTAGCGGCCAGTTCAACCAGACTACACACACACACACACACACACACACACACACACACACACCATCATCAACATCACTGTATTCACCATAAATCATTCAACCGGATATTATTTACTATATTATTTATTTAGAAGGAACATTTAGAAGGTACAGAAAACAAACGATCACAAACTCAAATTGTCCTTTCTGTTGGGACTATCTGACCGTGTTTGTCCTCCCTCAGTCTGACTCAGTCTGTGCTCACTACACAGCTGACTCTGAATGCCTGAATAATTTAATCTGTGTGTGACTAAGTGTGACAGAATGCAGAGATCAGAGCAAGAGCAGGGAGTCATGTCAGACGGTGAAAAGGTCAAATGAAGAAATGTGGCCGCCAGCAGAGAGGAGCAGATTGAGTCACACTCTCTGGAAAACTGATTTCTCTCTATCATCGTTTTGTATGAGCAGACAGTGTTACATCATAAGTCCTTACATTTATTACACTGCAGGCATCCAAGGCTGGAGATATAAATGTTTTTTAACTTTGTGTTTGTGTACACGTCTGGCTGCATCATGAGCGTTTATGTTCACATACTTCAGGTGTTACTGGAGGATACCACTAGAGGGCACACCAGAGAGCTCTGTATGAGACTACAGGTCTGACAGGATGTAAACAACAGACACGACAGCACTCAAAGAGGTTCTTATTATAACTGAATATTAACAGCATTAATCAATAGTTACATCAGATGCTGGACAGAACACACCATCACATTCTGATCTCTCCCAGATGTTCTGACTGACATGTTTGTCTCTGTGCAGTGACAATGACACACTGTCCAGATGTGGAAAGCAACAGACTGTAGCTGTTCTCCAAAGCTGCGTCCTGATTCAGGAAAAACCTACAGTGTGCATCAGACCAGTGTCCCTCGCGTACTGTTTCCCACAATGCAAAGCGCAAGGTCAGAGATCAAAATGACAGACAGCAACGTCTTTCCTAATGGGAAATAACCACAATCGGACTAAATCCCACTGAAGATACCACCAGTTATCTTTTCTGATTCTCTAAATTATGAAAATCTAAATTAATCTCTTGGCTTTTTTCCAGACTGTAAGTGAACGCTACGCTGCAGCGGCGTTTGACCTCAGCTGCACTGTTGTTTACTTCCTCATTCAAAGACCAGAAACCAGCTCAATAACTTTGTGTCATGTTGACCCGGGCCGTCCCATCCTCTCTGAATCTACACCTCATCCTGTACATGAGCAGGTCGTGTTTCCTTACAAAAACTCTCATCCTGCTGTATTCTAACAGTCACATGTATCAGTCCTCGTGAATATTTGCAGTGAAGAATGTAAACAGCGGCTGACTCATATTCTGCAGCAGATAGAAATACCTCATCTTGTAGCTGATGGTATCGTTAGCGTGTAGCTGGTTATTCATTCAGTGTGTTTCATAAACAGTTACTCACAGCAGGAGATTTAAGTGACTCAAACAGTCGTTCCTTACATGGCAGCTCGTAGTTTGTACACCTCCACCAGGCTGGCCAGGTCGTTTATGTCGACCACGGTGGGTCGGGCGGCGACGGGCTGCGGCTGGACCCTCTGGTGCTGCGCTTCGTTGAGGTAGGACACGATGCCGCTCAGCTGCTGGCCCGCTTTAGCCTGCCGGTAGCTCTTCACCAGGTATCTGCACGGACGAGCGTTCAGAGGAAACACAGGAGACGGTTAAAAAAAAAAGTCTGTGTGGTTGATGAGCAAAAACACAAGCCTGTTTACAATAATGGAAATCATCTTTATCGTTGCCATGGTAACACCGGATGTTACGTCCAAGACCGCTGCATAAGGAAGCGTGAGCTGCTGCTGAAAGCTGCCGTACTGATGCTGTAAATCATACTCGGATACATTAACTCGTCTGTGAACAGATTCTCTTCCTCAGGTTGGGTTCACCCGGTCGTCATGACTACACTCAACTCAGAGTTTGTTTTCATCAGAGAATAGCAGAGAGAATCACTCCCATGATTCCCCGCCAGCCTCGACGTCATCTCTTTTGTTATTGTTGTGATTGAGCGCCCCCTGGATGTGGAATTTACACACTGTCCCTTTAAGAGAAGACTTTGATTTAAAGAAGAATCTCACTGCGATGCTTTTCTTTACTGCGTCTGTGTGTGACATGCATTAGTGGAGAGATGTCGGAGTGAGGGAGCTGCTACACAGGGAGAGCTCCAGAGCTGTTTAGGGTTCAGTGCCTTGCTCAAGGGCACCTGGACAGTTCTGGGAAGTGACCTGACGTCTCTCCGGTTCCCCACAGACTGAGCTTCTTTACACCCCTAAGCAGATCTTACTTCACAACAACAACAAATGGGTGGAGACCTGTGCGGACGGTGAACTCGTTTCTTTGTGGTCGTACATTCCCTCTGCGACGAGTTACCTGGCGGTCTGCAGCATCATGACGGTGTTCTCGCCCTCGTAGGTGCACGTGGGCGTGAACTGGACATAAATGTCGGGCAGGGCGCTGCTGCAGGAGTAGCCGTGGCCGCCGCACGACATGCGGCACACCTCGATGCCGGAGTTGGTTTCCCAAGTAGTGAAGGCCTTCAGACCTGCAGACAAAGCATGGAGCTGTGGAGGGAAAAGATTTATACCAGCTCAAACATCGGTCGGAATTAAACTCAAGACGGGAAATTATTATCAGAAAAACATTTCTCTTCCTGCGTTCTAATCATCGTCTCTTCCTTTAACCAATGAGTGATGTCTCACTGTAGGCACCTGTTCTGTTCGACTCGAGGAAACGCTACTCCTTACCACCTGAAGAAATGTGCTTTAAGTGATTCTGAGTTCTCTGAATGATATTTTGCACATCCAGTCCGTACCTCGGGCAGTTTGCTGAAGTCGCCCTCGTTGATGTCTCCACTGATGCGGAGGTAGGTCTCCTTCATATACTGACCGACGAAGTGGAAAGCATAGGCCATCGCCAGCAGGGGAAACAGCTTGTACTGCTGCGTCTGGTAGTCCAGGATCTGAGGCTCCGGCTCCCTGAGGGACAGGGACAGGGACAGGGACAGGGACAGGGTCGTGGGACACACACACACACACACACTTTAGTCATCCAAAATAAATGAAACAAGAGAGTGTTTTGGGAATAAATCCACATTTGGAGCAAAAAAAAAAAGTTTCTCAGAAAGAGTTCAGAGTGAAGCTGCCGGTCTTTACAGAGTACGTTTGTCTCTGACGATCAGGCATAGGTAGAGCACAGTTATGGGTCGTCGCCTCTAAACCGGAATGTCGAGGGTTCGATCCCCAGCTGAGCAATATGTCCAATGTGTGTGTTGTTCTTACTCTCTGATGAACGTCGCTTTGGATTAAAGCATCTGCTCAGTGAATTTAGAATTGTAGAATCTCTTGCTAAATTAAAAACTTTGTAAAACATAACTCTTCGTGAAACGCTTATCGTGGGCTTCCATCAAATACTTTTTGTTCTATTCACCAGGTTGTCAACTATTTGTGATATTTGGCACAAGTGTTTTCAACGAGTAGAGAGTGTTTGCAGCAGAAAGCGTCCAACCGGAGATAAAGAGCAGCACCCACCCAGTCTTTTTTCAGAGCGCTCTTTTCCAATATATAAGATCTGACATAGTATAGTATATATTATATTATATATTATTATTAGTATAGTATAGCATCCGTATAGTTTTTCCTGCTACAGATCGTGTCTTGTACCCTCATCCTCCTCGTTCCGTGTCTGATCGGGAAATAAACGATCTCAGATATAAAACATGCAGTAAAAAGTAATGGAGTAGTGTCGTTCATACAGCGGCCGTTATCAACGGATTGTTGTCATGGAGACAGGAGGGAAGTGCAGCGCCTTTCTTCTCAGCGCACAAAAGCTTCATGTAAACAGTCCTGAGCGCACAGAAAGCACTTTTCTGCCTGAAATAAACTGCTAGGTGGACACAGGGCCTCATGCAGGGTCACCTCCCCTGCTCCCCGTCTGCTTTTAAGAGACACAAAAGTGAAATTATCGACAAAAAGGGCGTGAAAAAAGGTCAGTATTTGACCACCTGTGAATATGATTGGTCCTCTTTGTTTAAAGTTTCTGAACCTTTTGATACTGATAAATAAAAAGAGAGATTGTATGGGTTTAAATCGTGTGGTATCAAACTATCAGACATTTCGACGGCCTCATCAGAGAGTGAGTGGAGAGGGTTTGGGAGGGGCCGGAGGTTCAGTCCTGATAATGGAGGATGTGGTTAGACATTAAATATTTACCAAAGTGACACTTCAACTGCTGCTGTGTTTATTACACCGTTTTTAAACCTTTGACACTCACCAGCAGAATTTAATGAGCTGAGTGCTCAGTTTAAGATCAAGGCCTTATCATCTTTGATTTTGAGTGTCACAGTATAGAATCTGAAGGCACTGACCCCGGTCTGATCTCAGACTGGTGACGGACCGAGCTGTAGCGGATGGCGATGGTACAAGCCTTGGAGAGGGCTCGAGCCGACTCGCCCACGATCATGGAGCGGATGAACACCATGGTGCCGTAGGTGAGCTTGGCACTCGGTGGCTTCACATAGGTTCCATCTGGCTCCACCTGGTGGACGGACAGAGTCATTACAACAGCAGCAGCTCCAGGACATACAGCTTTTCTCTGGTTCTACTTTTTACTGGTTTGTGTTTGAACGCAACACAAAGAAAAAGAAGACGTTACATCACCTTGGCGTATTTCATCAGCATGTTCTCTCGAGGGATTCTGATGTTCTCCAGTTTCAGATAGCCGTTGTCAACCTCGTTAAAGCCAAACTTTGGGCCGATGTCGCCAATGACAACACCTGAGGGAGAGAGAGGGGGAGAGAGAGAGAGAGAGAGAGATAGAGAGAGGGAGAGAGAAAAGAGAGGGAAAGAGAGAGAGGGGGAGAGAGCAAGAGAGAGAGAGGGGGAGAGAGAGAGAGGGGGAGAGAGAGGGAGAGAGAGAGAGGCGGAGAGAGAGAGGGAGCGAGAGAGAGGGAGAGAGAGAGAGGGGGAGAGAGAGAGGGAGAGAGAGAGAGAGAGAGAGAGAGGGAGAGAGAGAGAGGGGAGAGAGAGAGGAGAGAGAGAGAGAGAGAGAGAGAGGCGGAGAGAGAGAGGGAGAGAGAGAGAGGAAGGGAGAGAGAGGGAGAGAGAGGGAGAGAGAGGGAGAGAGAAAAGAGAGGGAAAGAGAGAGGGGGAGAGAGAGAGAGGGGAGAGAGAGAGAGGCGGAGAGAGAGAGGGAGAGAGAGAGAGGAAGGGAGAGAGGGAGAGAGAGAGAGAGGAAGGGAGGGGGGAAGGAGAGCGAGCGAGAGCGAGAGCGAGAGAGAGAGAGAGAAATAAATAACACAGTAAAAGGTGGTGGAGTCAGGGAGGTAAAGGAGAGCTGACTCCACGCATCACGACAGACGGAGGTTACCTGGCAGCGGCTCGTGTGTCTTCATATCACGGAGCGGCGTGATGAAAGCGTGCAGACCGTGACAGTTTCCCTGAGTGTACAGCTGAGCCAGAACGATGGCGTGGTTTGACGTCTTTCCAACTAGAAACGAGAAAATGATTCAAAGAGTCAGAACTGGTGCTGTGGACGTCTCACACCCCCTCCACCCTGATCACAGAGGACGTCTCACACCCCCTCCACCCTGATCACAGAGGACACCTCACACCCCCTCCACCCTGATCACAGAGGACACCTCACACCCCTCCACCCTGATCACAGAGGACACCTCACACCCCCTCCACCCTGATCACAGAGGACCCCTCCACCCTGATCACAGAGGACCCCCTACACCCTGATCACAGAGGACGCCTCACACCCCCTCCACCCTGATCACAGAGGACCCCCTACACCCTGATCACAGAGGACGCCTCACACCCCCTCCACCCTGATCACAGAGGACCCCTCCACCCTGATCACAGAGGACCCCTCACACCCCCTCCACCCTGATCACAGAGGACCCCCTCCACCCTGATCACAGAGGACCCCTCACACCCCCTCCACCCTGATCACAGAGGACCCCTCACACCCCCTCCACCCTGATCACAGAGGACCCCCTCCACCCTGATCACAGAGGACCCCTCACACCCCTCCACCCTGATCACAGAGGACCCCCTCCACCCTGATCACAGAGGACGTCTCACACCCCCTCCACCCTGATCACAGAGGACGTCTCACACCCCCTCCACCCTGATCACAGAGGACGTCTCACACCCCCTCCACCCTGATCACAGAGGACACCTCACACCCCCTCCACCCTGATCACAGAGGACCCCTCCACCCTGATCACAGAGGACCCCTCACACCCCCTCCACCCTGATCACAGAGGACCCCTCACACCCCCTCCACCCTGATCACAGAGGACGTCTCACACCCCCTCCACCCTGATCACAGAGGACCCCTCACACCCTGATCACAGAGGACCCCCTCCACCCTGATCACAGAGGATCGTAGTATATTAGAGTGAATCTTGAATCTGGCACTGGTCCAATTCCCAGGCGTCAAAACGACTCACGGTCGGTCGAGGGACAAAAACAGCGGGAAGGTACTCACGTCCTCCGGGCCACCATTTGATGGAGCTGATTGTGGGACTGTTCAAGACAAAATCCTGTGTGGCGGGGTCATAGGTGGCGGTGGTCTCCAGCCCCCTGAGGTGAGTGCCTACAGAGAGACGATAAATCAAAGCCCAACGCACAAACACACAGAGGCACAAAGAGAGTACGGGATGATACAAGAAAAGGAAAAATGACTCATGAATGTTTAACTATTAGCTTTAACAAGTCAAAATCCAAGATGAATCAGTCGTTAACACAATATGTGATCTGATATGATAACATCCAACAGGACAGAAGGAGGAAGTGACAGACGTCATGTTCAGCCCTCCACAGTTTGATATTTAATGAACGGATGAAGAACAAAGTGATGCACTCTGTGGATGTTTGACAGATCTAAAAACATGTAACAATCATTTTTCATTCATGCAACACCTCAAACATGCCGTTTGCATCGATCAGCAGAGAAATACAGGAGGACAAGGGGGCACAAAGATGCGTTTCCTCGTCTGAGTTAAGTCTAATGGAACTACTCGAGGTGTTACTCTGACCTACGGCCAAACACAGATCTGAGACTAACGCTAAAACAAAACGTAAAAACATAAAGAAAAGACAACTTGAAACCGTGATGAGAGGGCGAGAGAGAGGGCTGTCTTTAGAGAATGATCTGATGCACACTCGTGGGGAGGTTTTTCTACCAGCTGGTGACAGACGAGGATGTTTTTTTTCACAGGTCGTACTCTGGCCGACATTCCTCTCTGATTTGATCTCTTCACACAGGTTGTTAATAAGTGAAGCTACAGAATAATAGATGTTAATGTGGATGTTTGGTGAGCGTTTGTAAGCATTTTAACTTTAAGCTGGTTAGAAAATGAACCTCAGCATGAGATGTGTTTACAACTTGTAGGTCCACTTGTGACGCCTCGACTGGATTGACTGATTTGAAGTAGAAATGATGGAAAAACAAAAACTCTCTTCAGATCATGATGGATGAGAGAGAAAGAAACCAGGATGAAAACAACATCTGTCTTACTATTTGTCTGTTGTTGACATCAGAGTACGACCCGTTTAAAAAGTCACGCTGACAATTGATGAGAGCAGTCCAAGGTCACGTCCAGCTCACAACAATGACAGCGCCCCCATGTGGGTGGAAACGAGAGTGGTGACAGAACCGGCCGCTGTTTCACAGAATTTGGTACTTTTTCAAATACACAGTGTACGATATTTCCCCCCGCAAAAGGTCAAAGCTTGGAGGCTTTGGGGTCGACAGTGCAGAGGACAAGGTGAAGGTGGCAAATTGTGGGACCGGCTTGCTGTGTGTGCTTGACTCTTAATCAGCAGACTCTAAGCGTCAAGAACCTGGAGGGATTGCTCTCATCAATGGCAAAACCAAAGAAACCAAACGATCCCCGTTTTTTATTTTTTGTTTTTTGGACTGGCTCCTGAGAGTTTGGACTCTGGATCATTTTTACCGTGGCCCATCTCGGTCTGAGCGTAGGTGCCGATGATCTCGAGGTTCCAGGCGGGCATGAAGAAGCGGTCCATTTGCTCGGGGGTGGCCTGGTTGAGCAGTGTGGGCAGGAACATCCCCAGATGGAGATCCAGGGGCTCAGGCCTGTCCGGGTGCACACAGCTGGGCCGTGCAGCACAAAGGAGGAGGAGGGGGGAGTGAGGAAAGTAGGTAAAGCAGAGAGGGGGCAAAGAGGGAGATAGATAGGAAAATTTATAGAAAAATTGGAGGGTGAGGAGTTTTTTTTTAACAAAAAAAAACCCACAGGAAGGATTATAGGTGATTATTTACGTGTGGGTCACATCAAGAATTTTAAATTTAAAATGTCATGCATATTGGAATTACTGATACGATCACATTGGTTTGAAATTCTTTCATTTTTGATTTTATGTCATTCTGTCTCGAGAAGCTGCAGTCTTTATACCTCAGTGTCTCAGTTTAGGACGTTCTGGTCTGCGTCTGTTTCTGACTGAAGGCTGACGCTCCTGTTTACATCCTTTAGACCAAAGAGTCCCCCCCCCCGAACTTCACAATCAAACTTCACGTTGAAAACCTCAAAAGAGAGAGGAGAGATACTGACATGATAAAGATTCTCTGGACATCTAGTTGGATGTTGAATCCTCCAAAAATGAGTCTGCATATATGTTTTCTTACTGAACAGGTGAACTCATTTCGTCACGGGAGTCACTCCAAAACATAAACGTTGCGCATTATCACCCACACAAACTTTAAGGTCGCATATCCTCCTCCTCCTCCTCTTCTTCAGTGTAAATAAGTCTCAGAGCTCCCCAAAACATGCGTGTGAAGTGTCTTGTTCTAAATCCACTCTGATCCTGTATTTGATCATGTCTATAAACCCCTCTATTTCAGCCCTGCTCAGAATAGGCTGTTTCTGTGTCTGTACCTTTAAATATGTAAATGAGCTATGTCTGACCACGCCCCCTCTCTGGAAGGGCTCGGGTGTACTCGGTGCTTTCTCGCTCCATGTCCTATTGTTTACGGTGAGAAGGCAGACTCAGAGGGCAGAACAAACACCTAGCTGTGGGAGTGTCACCCACATGGGGGAGGGGCTACTGCCCTTTGTGATGTCATGAAGGGAAAATCTCCAAATGGCCTGTTTGAGGACACATTTTCTGAAAAGTGGAGCAGGTAAAAGACGGAGAGGATGGACTTTTCTCATCATTTGTAGACAGACTAGAGACACATTAATGTTAGAGAAACAAGGTGAAGTGGAGTTTACAGAATATGTGACCTTTAAACTTTATATATTCAGGATCTAATGTTCTGTGTTTATAATCTTATAAACATCAGATTAAAACAATAAGACGTTTACAATAAAGAAATGCCATCAAACATTTAAACATGGAGATTTATTCCTCATATTATGGAGTCTCTGTAACGATATTTAAGTAGACAACAGATTATGTGAGTGACATGAAACCATGGTTGCATAAAGTTTCTGTTTCTGTGGGCATGAGGACAGTCTGTACCCTCTGAAACGAGGGGGGCTTCATTCAGCTGAGGCAGAGCAGAGGGACCGGTTTGAGAAAGGCCCCCCTTGTGTTCCCCTGTTCACTGATACTCTTGACCTTTGGTCCAAACATGCCAAAACGCAGGTTAAAAAAAATGTCCTTCAGAGAACAAACTTTCAGAGTAGCTCTGGTGAGACTCACAAGAACATCCATTTGGCTTTGTTTCAGAGGGGCAGCTAACAAAAAGCTGGCTTGGCCTACATTTTCTCTCACTGCAGATTCCCCCGGCCTCTCAGATTCCAAAAGAGACAATACCAGGCCGGAGCTCGCAGAAGCACGTACTTCTGCAGCACGTGACCAACCTTCACTTGTTTATAAAATAATATTTGACACATCAGCACGACTTCTCCTCCACTTCTGAATCTGCTCAGCAGCAAATCCAAAGACAGAGTTCATCATTTGCAAACAGATGGAAAGTAATCAAGACACACATGACATCATGATTCATTACATGAGGGAAGGGATGGGAGAGTTGTGAGGAGTAAAGCAGCAGAACCAACTAGTCCAGTATGGAGAACGGTTTTAAACGGACAAGAACGACTCCACTCATTTCATGTTAAAAGCTAGCTAACCTGAAACTGTGACAGTGAGCCACTAGTGGAGTGACGTTAATAAATCAGATATGGCTACACGTATTAGTCACAAATTAACATCTTTTGTTAGACCACAGGTGTGATTGTTAGAACAAACATGCTACATTTGTTAGCCTACATATAGGTACATGATTTAGATCTGTCAAACACATACAAGGAATCACCAGAACAGTTTTCACCACCTGCTGAGACTGGACTGTTGTTCTTTTTCCCGGGAACACAAATTTGTTTTTGTTTTTTTACTGAAGGTGTGTCTGAGGGCCTGACATGACTAAGTAGTAACTGAATTAAGGGCTTTGAGTCCAGGACTGACCGTGACCAATCTCAGTTTGGGCGTACGTGCCCAGGACCTGGAAGGACTCTGCCAGAGGTATCCACTTCCGGGCCTGCTGAGGGTCACACTGGTTGTACAGGGTTGGGAGGAACATGGCAAAGTGTAGCCCAAGGGCCTCGTTATGGTGGCCCCTATATATACTGGGGGGGAAGGGAGAGTATAGGAGACACAACTTTAGGTCAGGCTTGTTGTTTTTTTAAAGATTACTGGTTTATTCTCTGACGATGTGATTGTTATGGCTGAGTTCATCTCGAGCATACAATCTTGTTTTTTTTAGCTTGGTCATGTTTTCCTCTCTAAAAGTCACACTGTCTTGCAGATCTCAGTGAAAGCTTAACTCACTAATCTAAAATCGACATTGTTCATAAAAGCAGCATTTCTTTAAAAGGATGACCTATCGCATCGTTAATAATTATATAACTGGTACGAGCTGACATTGCACACCCTCTGACACAGTTTTTAATCTAATGCTGGACTTTGCTCAACACACAAGCTTTTATTTCCCCCCCAACACTGTAAATGTCTAAACCAGCCTGATTGTTAAGTTGTCTGAGGACAGCGTTGAGACTCATCACAGTCGTTCTGCTGCACATCACATCGCTTCACTTGCTTTTAATGTAAGGTTGCACAACAAAAGGTTCTGCTGTCCTTATTCACACCCCGACACAACTTTGTCACCATTTCTGCAGCAAACCCAAAGACAGAGGTGTTTAAGCTGCAGAAAGATGCAAAGCAGCGTAGACACACAAAAAGCGTCATCATCAGTGCATTGTCATTTTTTACAATGAGGGCATGGGAGAGAGATTAGCGCAGGAAAGCAGCAGCGTTGGTGGGCAGAATGTGTTGGAATGGACCAAAGTGAACTTCTGGATTTTGTTTTAAAATGCCAGCGGTCAAAGTGCGATCTTTAATAGAGCAGCTTCCTCTATGTGTACTTAAAAGGGGTGTAATGGGTTCACACTCAGCAGTACCTTCACCCTAATCCAAGTGGTGGATTGGACTGCTAGCTAACTGATGTTAAATAGAAAATGAAGAAGAGTAATATACGGTAGCTTGAAGACACGGCCTGCTTCTTTGGGAACGCACTGCAGTGGGGTTTTTCATGCCGAACATGCTTATGAAATGCTTACAAAGGTGGCATCACCCAAAGGTTCAATCATGGGAGCTATCCAAAAGAAAACAGGTTTCCAAGAACTCATCCCCGCTTTTTTCAAAAGTTCTCTGGATGTTTATGAACTTTAGTATTGATCCAAAACCAAGGATTTAAGCTTTCAGATATTTGTATTGTATGTTTCTATCTGCTACAGAGGCTGAGAAATCAAGATTGGGTATTTTTTTTATTTTGGGAGTCCTTAAGTCTAAATGGTCTCAACTGGCACTTGCATTACTGTCGGAACCTGGAAATATGTTACCCAGACTTTTTGTTCCATTTTCTTCCTGTTAAACCGAACAGTTTGAACCATTACACCCCTAGTACTTTGCAAGTACCTTCCGTTGGTTGAATGAACGCATAAACACAATTTTTAGAAAACCTACTTGCAACTGACATGATTTGGATCTGTCAAACACATGACTTTTTTTTTTTGCACACCTGCTAAATGGGGGCCTTTTTTTCCTGCCCCAAATATCAAGGTGCCCAAGCATTACAAAACAAATGTGGGGTAACATGCCAGCTTGATGGAGTTGTTTGAGGACCTTACACAAAAAGCAAGTAAAGAAGTTAAGGTTTGAGTCCAGGACTGACCGTGACCCAACTCGGTTTGGGCATAAGTGCCAATGGCCTGGAAGGACTCTGCCAGAGGTATCCACTTCCGGGCCTGCTGAGGGTCGCACTGGTTGTACAGGGTTGGGAGGAACATGCTAAAGTGTAGCCCAAAGGCCTCACGTTGGTTTCCCTTGATCATACTGAGTAAAGGGAGAGTATAGAAGACAACTTCAAGGTCAGTTTACTGTTAATCTGTGTTCTAACCTCTCTCCATTTTTCAAAAGCATCTCCAATATTGATCCTAGTTTGAGCACGTTTCTGCTCGTGGAGCTTATTAGAAACATGCAGAGGCTTTTTAGGTCGGGTACAATCACTTCTATCTGAACCACTTCTCTTGCCCGCTTCCATCGCTGCAACACCTGTTGACCTGATAACTGCTCTCATATCTGACAAACCGAGGGGCGTCCAAAACGGCCGTGTGGGGGTTCTTAAAACCTCCTACCTTCTCTGGCTCAAACAAATCCAGAGCATTCAGGAGCAGAATCTAAAGTTAGAAGGAGGACATACTGGCTGCTGCACTGTTGTCAGAGAAGCCAGCACTTCAACATAGAATGTTTCCTTAATGTCTGATCAGATAGTAAGCTCACTTTATAATTTCACTCACCACACATCTCACTGATTAACCCTTTAAGATTTATAAACGGTGTAATGGCTGACTTATTATTTGAGGCACTGAAAGATAATGTGACTTTTAGGGCTGAATTGTATGCTTAAGATAAACTCAGTGGATACAATCATGTGAAAATGTCTTCAGTGTGCTGTAGGAGTTCAATGTGATTCTTGGAAAACTCAAATGACATCAATACCTGTTCTGATATCAAGTACCTCCAATACAAGTTCTAGGCACCCTAAAGGTCTTTTGCACCTTCATTAAATTTGCCTTAAGTGATTTGTTGGCTCCAGTATTTTCTTTGGATCCTGTCTTGAAGAAGGTATCCACTGAATTATATTTTTGTACGTCTGAAGTCCTTTTCCGAGTGCAGCGACCTCCATTTGTGGAGGGACTGAATCGCAGGAGTTTCCTTCTACTGTTCTTTAAATGCTAATTCATTTCTGCATTTTAAGACTCGTTACTGTGGCGCTCCATTTACAAGAAATTATCCAATATTGGAAGAACAATTGGAAGGACGTCTATTCTTCTCTGGTATGGAAACAGGTGTTGATATAGTTTGAATTAAACTAGTCTTGTCTAAGTTTAAAATTCTGGTATAATTTGTGACAACCCTAATTCTGTCTGGAAACATATTTCTGTCTTTTTCATTGCCTTCTGGGGCTTCTTTCTCAATTCTGATTTAAGGACTTCTTCGATGCTGATTGCCCAATCATACAATCACTTAACCATCCAGAGGCCCAGCAAGGTACGTGGGGTGCTAATCTCATCCAGGATGATCCACACTCCAAGCAGTTGAAATGAATTTGTAGGATATACAGTTGCAGGAAAAAGTATGTGAACCCTTTGGAATTTCTTAGTTTTCTGATTAAATTGGTCATAAAATGTGTTCTGATCTTCATCTAAGTCTCAACAATAGACAAACACAGTCTGCTTAAACTAATACAACACAAACAGTTATATGTTTTCATGTTTTTGTTGAACACAACATGTAAACATTCACAGTGCAGGGTGGAAAAAGTATGAGAACCTAGGCAAATGACTTCTCCAAGAGCTAATTGGAGTCAGGAGTCAGCCAACCTGCAGTCCAATCAATGAGAGGAGATTGGAGGTGTTGGTTAAAGCTGCCCTGCCCTATAAAAAAACACACTCCAGTTTTGAGTTTGCTACTCTCAAGAAGCATTGCCTGATGTGAACCATGCCTCGCACAAAAGAGCTCTCAGAAGACCTACGATTAAGAATTGTTGACTTACATAAAGCTGGAAAGGGTTACAAAAGAATCTCTTGATGTTCATCAGTCCACGGGAAGACAAATTGTCTATAAATAGAGAAAGTTCAGCACTGTTGCTACTCTCCCTAGAGTGGCCGTCCTGTAAAGATGACTGCAAGAGCACAGCGCAGAATGCTCAATGAGGTGAAGAAGAATCCTAGAGTGTCAGCTAAAGACTTACACAAATCTCTGGCACGTGGAGGGGGCATCGTGGTTTGGGGCTGCTTTGCTGCATCAGGGCCTGGACAGATTTCTATCATCGACGGAAAAATGAATTCCCAAGTTTATCAAGACATTTTGCAGGAAAACTTAAGGCCATCTGTCCACCAGGTGAAGCTCAACAGAAGATGGGTGATGCAACAGGACAACGACCCAAAGCACAGAAGTAAATCAACAACAGAATGGCTTCAACAGAAGAAAATACGCCTTCTGGAGTGGCCCAGTCAGAGTCCTGACCTCAACCCGATAGAGATGCTGTGGCATGACCTCAAGAGAGCGATTCACACCAGACATCCCGAGAATATTGCTGAACTGAAAAAGTTTTGTAAAGAGGAATGGTCCACAATTCCTCCTGACCGTTGTGCAGGTCTGATCTGCAACTACAGGAAACGTTTGGTTGAGGTTATTGCTGCCAAAGGAGGGTCAACCAGTTATTAAATCCAAGGGTTCACATACTCTTTCCACCGTGCACTGTGAATGTTTACATGTTGTGTTCAATAAAAACATATAACTGTTTGTGTTGTATTAGTTTAAGCAGACTGTGTTTGTCTATTGTTGAGACTTAGATGAAGATCAGAACACATTTTATGGCCAATTTATGTAGAAAACTAGGAAATTCCAAAGGGTTCACATACTTTTTCTTGCAACTGTAAATAAGTAAGTGCTGCTTAATAAAAGCATGGTTCAGGAACAAAGCACACTGAAAGTCTCAAAGAGTCTTGTGATGTACAAACAGTTTCAGTGTGTTTTAAAATGTTCTTAAACTCTACACTTGTGTCAATAGAAAATCATTTTGAACTCTACCATAGAGCTCATCTTAAATCTGTCTGGTACAGTCCACCTGCATGCATGTCAGAGGAGTGCATACCCTGACACACTTTGATGAACTTTGCCCCCACTGACTATTTGACTCTCGGCTACAAACAGCTTCGAATGTTGTTCTATAACCAGTGATTCCTAAACCCTTCTATTGTCCAGTTGTCTGGTAGAGGAACAGGATAGTTGTGGAGCCTGTGTGATAGAAATGGTTACCATATCGAACCCATTTGTGTAAAAGAGGTATTCTATTTTTGTTGTTAAATGCACTATAATCATATTATATATATTTACAAAGCGCTATACATTAACCCTATTTTGTTCTAACATCAAGACTGTCGATTAAGGCTCTGCTTGTATTATGCAGGCTCTATGGCAAGCCATTTAAAGATTGAATAACTAGACTGGGCGGCTGTGGCTCAGTGGTAGAGTCGGTCGCCTCTCAACCAGAAGATAAGGGGTTGAGCCACATGTCAAATTGTCCTTGGGCAAAACACTGAACCCCAAGCTGCTCCCGCTGGTACGTCAATGTGTGAATGTGGATTTGTCGCGATAAATTCAGACTTATGCAGTGTGTTTGTTGTGAATGCTCATGAAGTGTTTACGATGAAATTGGGATGTATTGCACAGCCCTAGTGTGTGTCTGAAACTATTGCAACACCGAGTGCTTCTGCAACACCGAAATGTGTATATATGATCTCACACCACAGCTACAGGTGTATTAAGTAAGTACAAAGGTGTGATGACCACAGAACTTTGTTACAGCACTGTTGAGTAACTGCAAACTGAAAAGGACTTGCTAGTAAGAATATCACTCTGAATATGTGAATCACAATTGTCACTAATGTGAAAACAGCTGGATTAGAGAAATGTTAGTAAGGATATCTGGTATATAATTCTAATTGGAGAATATCTAGAATTAAATCAAATGTTCAAACGGCTTGCCATAGAGACCAAACTACATCAACAAACACCTGTTGCTTTATAGACGCTCAAACTGTTTTGCAGATTGCACTTCAGTTAAAAAAAACAACCAGGTTGTGTATATTATATGATTACTGTGGTAGAGTGCAATCAGGGTGAAGAGCCATTACAGCTGAATGGTTCAACATCACATGTCCATCATTTAAATGAAGCGACTCCTCTTATTACGTCTCTCAGAGGTCTCAATAGTTCGCTTCATATAAAGACATTGAGTCGGCAAATATGAAAAGTGAAATGAAGAGTAGACATACTAGATCTGAGTCTTTGTTTCATCACCGCCCTCAGGAGAGCAAAAACAGCAGAATTACTCCCACAAAGCAGAAATAGTTGCTCATTGTGTGTTACCTCTCTGTTTATGAGGGCAAAGGAACAACTTTGATCTATATTTTGATCTCCTTGGGACAAAACAAATCATGTTAAAACAGTACAGTTCTCTATCAAAATCAACAGGCTCAGATTTTACCCAAACCCAAAACCCTCTGTGAGAACTTGTTAATCAACACATACGACATCACCCCTGGTTCTGAGGTCTTCTTGTGTCTAACATCAATGAGGTTTTTACTCTTCTGGATGTACAGTGTAACTGTGGCCTGCCGGCTCCTTTACCACATACTTCTTATAGCAGTAGATCTCCTCGGGGTCTGCGATGCCGTACTCCCTGAGCTTCAGGATCATTTGGGCACTTTTCCTGACAGCCTGGTCATAACGCTCACTGCGGGACAGGAAACACGGGTTCTCCTCCTTGAAGTCCGGGTCGCTGAGAACCATTGACTCTGGAGAGGAGAATGGAAAGGAAATTAGAAATGGGGCTCTTGTAGTATGCAACTGCTAAATAATTATTAAATTGGGTATCTTGTACATATGTAGGACGTAGATATCCAGACATAATGAAAGGATAATTTTGCCTGAATTTGGAGGATAAAACCAGCGTATCCTTTTCAAACCTCAGCATCCTTTAAGCTTTCATTCACACAGGAGTGTAGTCTGATGCAGAACTTCATAAACATAAGACAATCCTGATGTATTCATGAATATTTAATCAGACATTACTAAAATAAGTCACTGCATGATGGTTGATCTTAAAGGAGCAGTATGTAACTCTGACCCCTAGTGTTTAAAATGGGTACTGCAGTCTAAATTATAAACATTGTAGATAGCTGTCTCTCCCCCCTCCTCTCTAGAGTCCATGCTCACTCAGGTCACCATGTGGTGGACTCTGAAGCTTCAGTGTTTATCCAGCTCTGCATGGGTCTGTAAACCTTTCTGTGTTCTAACCTCTCTCCATTTTTCAAAAGCATCTCCAATATTGATCCTAGTTTGAGCACGTTTCTGCTCGTGGAGCTTATTAGAAACATGCAGAGGCTTTTTAGGTCGGGTACAATCACTTCTATCTGAACCACTTCTCTTGACCGCTTCCATCGCTGCAACACCTGTGTGTATGCAAATGTATTTCCATATCTTTTGTGTTTATGGTTTTATCATACAGTCATCATATCTGTGGTGCATCGGGCTTTTATGATCATGCTGCAAGTAATATAATTTCATCGCTGTGTACTAAATGTAAAAGATCATCTACAGTAGGTGCAAGAGTAAAAATACAGACTACAAACTCTCAGTGTTTCAGGTCGGCTTCACACTCTTCCCACGATGTTGAAAACAGGATGATCGAGATTAAACGACTATTGTGCTGCATGCTGTGTTGCGCTTTGATCAAAGGGTTTTGTCATGTTTGGTAAATGTTTCAAAGTGTTTGTTGTTCAGAGTACATCACCCCTACCTCAAAAACAAAGGTAGTTTATTTGTTGTTTATTTAGTATTATTAGCATGTATCATGTGGCAGTAGCTCAGTTTGTAGGGAACTAAGTTGGGAACCGGATCCCAACTTAGGAGACCCAGTGCGGACAAAGTCTGGAAATTGGTCTGGTAGCTGGAGAGGTTCCAGTTCACTTCCTGAGCCCGACCGAGGTGCCCTTCAGCAAGGCATTGACCCCCCACCTGCTCTCGCTGTGGGCAGCCACCTCTGATATCTCTCCATTACCACTACGCGCTGCTCCGTTTCAAAAAACGCTGCGAGTCTATTTTCGACGGGAGTACGCTGTCGACCCGGACAGAACCGAACGACCCGGACAGGAAGTCAGAGAAGGAAACACAAAGAGCGTTTGGTCTTTTTCAAAATAAAACACAACATACGGAATCACGATCGTATTTGTCCTCACTTTATCAACAACAAACAACAAATCATCCTCAGAAAGTCAAACTCTGTATTCTCTGATCGTGGCGTTCTCCTGTGACGCGAGTTCAGCTGCGCTTCGTCGGCTCACTTTGCAGAAACGGATCAGCTGGAGCAGGGAGCACGCCGTCCGACTGAGCAAAACTGTGGCACGCACAGAGGATGTGGAAATTGGGGGTTAGTGCATGTATATAGGGTCGGATCGTGAATCGTATCGTGAGTTGAGTGAATCGTTACATCCCTACTTAACATCAATCAAAACAATCGTGATTATGATATCACTTAACTTTTTAAAACTACTCATTTGTTAACAATTACACACGCCGAATTAACCTCCTTGTACTGCTTAATAGACAAGACATTCATATTTTCAGAAACAACACCTTTAATGGGATTTTAGGGGGACACTTTGCCTAAAAACGTTTAAATTTAGATGAGGTCAGGTCAACTTATAATGTTTATAAAGCTAGAGGGTCGTTAGCAACCACCTAGCAAATGAGCTTTTTCCCATCAATACTTTATGTCTAATAAACATCTCTACTGCCATATTCATCACCTAAAGTTTGTAAAGTGTCCGTGCGTGAAGGACTAAAAACACTCACCAATTTCTCGCCTCCTTTTTGTCTTTTCTGGGCCTCCGTCCAGAATGTAGGTGAGTTTCTCGACGTCAAAAGTGGCATTTTTCCGCTCTTTCAAAATATCGGGATTCATGGTTGGTTATCCGAGTGAAGTGTTGATGTTTTAAGTGTTCGGTAAGAAGGATCCTATGCGGAGAGGTGGGTTGTGTAACCTCCGGCAGCAGCTCCAACCCCTGACAAGTGCTCCTGACACGGCCTCCTCTTTGCGCAGGCGCAGAAAGCCCCCGAGAGGCGGAGAGATAAACGTGATGTGACGTCACACACGGAAGCACTCCGCAGTGCTCTGCTCAACGCTTCACACAGTTTGAAATGATTTAGTGTGAACTTACTTTGGCCCGTGTCATGGCGATGCTCCCCGCAGCTGCAGTCTTTTATTTCCCCTGGGAGGTTAATAATGGAGCAGCTCAGGAAGGAGAGTCACTGAGGACATTCGGCAGGTAGTTTGTTATTGTTTGTGTTTGTTTTTCACCCCAAACAGACAAATCAACAACAACAACAAATGGAGAGAGAAACACATGAAGAGTTTTGGATTGCCTTGTATCTAAAACATTTGTTCATTTGACTTTTTCTAAATTCTACGGCGCCCCTGAAGTCCCAAAAAACGTGTTGTACTCACAAGTTATCAATATCTTGTGTGCACAGTAGATATGTAGGCTACTTGTGGGCGGCAGTAGCTCAGTCTGTAGGGACTTGGGTTGGGAACCAGAGGGTCGCCGGTGCGGACCAAGCATGGAAGTTGGTCTGGTAGCTGGAGAGGTGCCAGATCACCGAGCACTGCCGAGGTGCCCTTGAGCAAGGCACCAAACCCCCTCCCCACCACCAGCTCAGGAGCGCCTGCTGAGGGCAGCTCCGTCACTCTGACATCTCTCCCTTAGTGTGCATGTCCATAGGATCCTGTGTGTGTGCATGTGTGTGTATACTTCAGCCTGTGTGTGTGTTCATGACTACAGAGTGTAAAAACTGAAATTTCCCCTCACAGGGATCAATAAAGTAAATCTTCATCTTCTTCTTCTTGTGCACAGGAGTTGGATAATATCTTGTGGCCATAACATAATAACTTGTACGCACAAGGTATTAACTTGTTCCCAGTAAATTTTACTTCGGAACATCAGGTCATTTATAAACGCATTCCTAAATTAGTTTTATTTTTACTAATATCAAATAGAAAACAGTAGACAACAATTTAACTTTCCACCTACATTAAAAAACAAAGGTGTATTTCTGACTTGGACTCAAAAACCTTTTCAAAATAACGATGTTGCATCTTTTAAGTTATACACGTTCAAAAAGTCAGGATAAAATGAAATCCGGGCTGACTAAGACATTGATCCTCTCTGTTCATTTTTTCAGACTGGCCAGTTACCGACCCGAGGAGTCCAGGGCAACATTGTCTGCTCAGCATGCTTCAAAACAGCACCAGATGGTCGTCCACACGCTGTACGTGGAGCCCTTTGACCCCATAATTGGGGCCCAATATATAGTTCTGGGTGAGATAGAAAATGCTGAAGGTAAGGAAAGGCTAATTTTTTTGTGATTAATTATTATAATAATAATACTCCCCTCTTAAAATTCATTCATTGGCCAGCTCACTGGAAGCCTTCCTGGGGGGGTCAGAACGCTGCAGGGCTGCCAGGGGAGGGCTGCTGGAGAAGAAAGTCTATGTCAAGAGGTTTCACCGGCTTACATAGAGGCTTGAAGCCGTTTGGTGAAATTCTTGGTTTCATATCTGGGAACTATTATGTGATTTGCAGAAAAGCTTTTTAGCGCCCTCTCCTGACTCATGCTGGGATTACTCCAACATACGTTTACCTCATGATCTGAAACTTGTGAGAACATTGGGATCAGCAGAATCTGATTCGGCAACATTTCTCATCATTTGGGATTTTCTTACCAACACAATTTATTTTTGTATTATATTATAGTAATATTTTTACTAAAAGTTGTTTTTTACAGTGTAGACTTTTAAATAAAAACCTGTTATACCTGTCTTAACCTGTATCTTCTCTCCCTCCAGATGTGGGCGTGATGGTCCGTGCCCGTGTGCTGAACTGCGTTGACGGAGTGAACATCGCTCTTCTTCAGAGAGCCATCAACGAGCAGAGAAGCTTCTTCAGCGAGAGGGAGCAGAAACAGGCTGATGCTGCACAGCCTGAACATGTTACCTGAGCCGGCTCTCTTTTCTTTTGTTCAGGAAGTTTCTCGTGGTTCTCTCACTGAGTGTCAGGAGCACAGAGCCGCCTCTGAGTCTGTTTGGAAGACCCTTATACGAGCTCAGGTTAACTCAAGGAGTGTTTGGTTTGGTTAAGTTTCCTGCAGTTTGTCACATCGGATTTCTTTACATTATAAACTATTTTCTACAGAACTAACAGCTGGTTTTGGGTCCAAAGCTTACGACTTGGAGTCATTTTTTCCTCTCATATGTAACTTTGTGATCTGATGTTGTAGTGACCAATTTTGACAAACCCAATATGATCTAATAAAGTCACTTGAGGGATGAATGTGGAAGCTTTTTCAGACACTTCTCATCATATTCCGATTTGGGAATCTTCTATTATTTATTTAAATCAACTTTGACTTCACTAATTTTTAACCTTTCACGACCTCGTTCAGGCAGTCAACTCGAGCTGCACTGATTTTCACACCTGACATGCCTCATTCTCCACAATCACATGGATACACCTATAATCAAACACAAGTTTTAAAAAACCTTCACCCCCCTCCCTACAGTGTGCACTAATAAAGGAATGAGCTACTCAGACCAAAAATTTTATTTTTGGTCTTTGTATTCAGTTTATATCTGCTGTAAATTAGCATGAGTTTTAATGAGGATTCTGCAGCTTTTGGAGTGAGCCTCAAGTGGACACTTGAGGAACTGCAGTTTGTTTTTGCACTACTTTTTAACATACAAGGTTGTTGCTTGATATTTTCCCCCTCTTATGATTTCATATGAAGGAGTTTAACAGGTAAATAAAGTTGATCACATTTTAAAATTAATAAGGAGTGATTGATTTGTTGTTTTGTTTTTTTTACAAATATTTAACTGACAGACCCTCTGATTTATTCTGACACCTCTTTGTCAGATCCTGCAATTAGAATTGCTCTTTAACGGATGTAGCTTCCTTACTCAATAACAAAGTAATGTATTACCAACAAGAGTTTTTATACACTAGATAAAGAGGAACCCATTATTTAACATCATTGAAGACCATGGACTGTAAATATTAACGGTCGAATCCTAAGTGACGTCAGCCATCTGTCCCATCGATGGCGGTCTCCATGCTGTAAATGCTGTCTCAGTCTAACTTCAGTCAACCTAATGACAGGCTGAGAGCTGGAGCTGAGGCGGGTTTTAAGACTCCTGACTAACCGTTACACCGCGCCCACCTGTCAATCATGTCAGCTACGCGTCTGTCTATGGTTAACACGAATCGTTTTCAAAATCAAAATGGAACCATTGAAAAACATTCACCCCCCGTACAGTGTGTGTCCATCGAGACATGAGCTAATCAGACCTATTTGTTGTTTTTTTAACCAGGCTGTAAACATGTTCATCTCTGCTGTAAAAACAGGCTTTTTAGAATGGGTGTGTATGTGACTTCCTGTGCTTCTGCAGCCAGTCTCTAGTGGACACTTGAGGAACTGCAGGATCTTTGCACTCCCGCGTTGGCTTAATTTTTCAAGACCTTCAAGGTTGCCGCTTGTTTAAGACCCAAAAACCTCCCGACACAGCTGCTTCAAATGTGCATTAAGAATTTCCCAATTGGAAACGTGCTTACAGTGGAGTCGCCCAGATTTTGTTTCAACTGAGTTCTTACAAAAACCTTCATGTTCCCTGTTTTATAAAAAGGCTTAACACTAATAAAAGAAAGGGAGTCCATGCTCTTCATCCATTATAATTTAAATTTATTGATATATCTTCATAAAGTATCAAACAAGACTGAGTTTAAAGTGAACAATGTCAAGGATAGCCCATGAGTAATACAGAATCAAATCAATCTTGGTAAAAAGCATTGCACCGTGTCCCAGAATCCCAAATAACACAACGATATCACAGATAAAATGAATTTATATTCTCTGGTTTTTTAAATAAAAATCAAAAAAACATCTTGCTCACATCAAACATTTTCGGTAAACAAAGGCAGCTCAGCAGCGATAATTTCGGCAGACAGAAAGCTTTGTGGTAGAAGACGTTTCCTGAGTCAAATAAACATCCTAAGAGATTCATTTGGCATTGATTTCTTATAATAGTACATATTTGACCAGCAAGGATCAGATAAGTATGTCGTAAAAATATCTAGAATCTTGCATATTTAGAGGTGTAACCAGATTCTTTGGAGGAGGCGGGCAGCATGGGGAGGCCGGACGATGGGTCTTTCCTGCAGCGATCCAGAGCTTGTTTGTAGTTGATCTTCTCCTTTGTGATTGGGTCGACAATATCCTTGATGTAGGTCGACTCTGCCTGCAGCTCCCTCATCATCGAGCTGTCGATCATCTTGTTCCCAATGGCGTCCATGATGCTCACTCGGCGACCTGTATTGGGATTGACGAGGCCTCCAGTCAGGTGCTGTGCCTCCATGTAGCGGAGGCCGGTGTCCTTCGGCATCCAGCCCTTCTGGATGGCCTCGCCCACGGACAAACACTCTCTCGTCATGGGGTCTTCAACACCCGCAAAGGCCTTTTGAGCATTGAGTAGCCGCTGGACTTGGCTGTCTTCAACGAGGCCTCGGGCCGTTGCCTTGTGAACCGTACATCTCTCGTTGGTGTTGATGTCAATGATGCCGCCTGTCGATGCCTGAGCCTCCAGAAGTCTCTGAGCCGTGCTGGGATCGATGAGTTTGCGCAGGGTGGCATTCCGAATTGTGTAGCAGGTCTCAGTGTTTGCATCCATTATTCCGGCCACAGGGTAGACTTCTGAGGGGTTTGGAGGGGCAGAATTCACTGTTGTGCTGGACTTTGGGATGATGGAGTTGAACTGAGGTTGCTTCTTGTTGTCACCGGCGACCAGCAAGGCGAACTCTGAGATGGGGATCTGGCCCTGTTTGTACTGCTTCAGCTGATTCTCCGTCAGTCGGCCTGCCTTCAGCGCATCTTTGATGGAGAACTGTTTTCCGCTCTTGCGATCCTGCAGCACGGATGTCTCCCCGTCGGGCCCCATGGAGGTGATCTCCTCCCAGTCGCACTCCAGCTCCTGCAGATGGATGTACTGGGAACGATCAATCAGGCCCTGCAGGTAGGCGTCATACGGGGACATGTCTTTGCCGGTGTCTGGATCCAAAATGGTGATTTTGGTGGAGACGTTGGTCTCTTTGGTCCTTGTCTCCACATGCTCCTCTTTCTGAAGGCTCATCAGAAGGTCCCGGAGGGTGCTGTCCCTCATGTGGATCTTGTCCTTTTCATCCAGGATCTGCCTCTCCAGGTGCTGCGTTTCGGACGACATCTTGAGGCTCTTCTGCTTGTTCATCTGTGTCCTCTCGCTGATCAGTTTGCTCTGCTGCTGGAACGACACACTGGTGTCTTGCCTCTTGGCTTCCAGAGTCCTGAGCTCCCGAGTGAGGTTGTCCTTGTCCCTCAGCAAGGCATCTCTGTTCAGAGTGAGGGTCGTCTCCTCCCTTGAAGTGCTCGACTTGCCGTTCAACATGAGGTTGACCTTATCATTCAATCGTCTGATTTCGTCCTCCAGGTCCTGTCTGGCAAATTTGGTCTGAGATGCCTGCTCCCTCAGGCGATCCCGCTCCGCCTCCACGCCCTGGTCTTTCTCGACACGGATGACCTCTTTATACACCGTCTTCTCTCCGGCCTTCTCCCTCTGAAGGATCTCGAGCCTAAGAGTGATGCTACGGATTTCTCTCTGGAGACGCAACATATCGCTGGTTTCCTTGTCCAACCCCGACCGCAGTCCATTTGTCGCCCTCTCCAACTTCGGGTCTCTTTCCACCTTCAGTAACTCCTCAACGATGATGCTTTCCTCGACGGGAGGTGGAGCGTTCTCCAGCTGCGTGATGCGCATTCGGATCTCTCGGAGTTCAGACTCGGCTTGGATCCTCTTTTGGCGCTCGTCGCTCTCTCTGAGGAGCCTGACTTTATCTTCAATCTGTGATCTAAGCTGCTGCAACTCCAGCTCGAATTGACGCCTGTTCTTCACCTCTTCGTCCAGGTTCCTGCTGAGCTTATCATGCTCAACCATTTGCCGCGGGTCCTTCTGCAAACGCACGATCTCCTGCATGACCACCTTCTCCTCGGGCTTCTGCCTCTCCAGCAGGATGTATTTGTTCTGCAGATCAAAGACCATCTCCTCGATGCTGCGCCTCAGCTGCGCCTCCTCCCGCACGTCTTTCCTAAGGCGGTCAGCTTCTTTCTCCAACAGGGGATCAGGCTCGTACTTGATGACTTCTCTCTCGACCAGTTTGGTCTCTATCTTGGACTTCTCGGCCTTCAGATCATCTCTTTCCCTCCTGAGTCTGTTCACCTGGTCACAGAGGGTGCTGTAAGTGGAGTGCGAATGGTTCACCTGGGTGTTCAGCCTCTGGATCTCCCGCTCATTTTCAGGGCTTCTCTCCTCCTTCACCACCTCTTGGAGAACTTCTTTCATCTCCACTTTGGGTTTCTCAGCCCGGAGGATGTTCACCTCAGACGTGACCTGGCTGATATTTTTCTCGAGATCAGTGTGCTGTTTGGTGGAGTCTTGGATGTCTTTCCTGAGCCGCATTATCTCCACCTCTGTGTTGGGGTCGATCCGGTAGAGCTCGTTGACAATTTCCTTCACCTCGACTTTGGGCCTCCAGGTTTGAACTTCTCTGTAGCGGCTCTGGAGCTCGGACAACTCTCTGGACAAAGAGTTGTTTTCGAACCTCTCTTTCTCTATGGTGGTTCGAATCGTCTTAGATTCGTTGATGAGCTCGGGGTCCTGTTCAATCTTTTTCACCTCCTTGGTGATAATTTTTGGCTGGATGTTTGGAATGAGTCTCTCCAGTGCGTTGATCATGCTCCTAGTCTGGAAGATTTCATCGTTGAGGAGCTTCACCTTGTTGTTCTCGTCGGAAATCTCCGTCTCAAACGTCCGCACCGCCTTCAACATCTCCGGGTTCTTCTCCACTTTCACCACCTCCTTCTTGACCACCCTCTCTTTGATCGGCGGCCTCTTCTGCTGGAGGATTGTGACCTCCGTCCGCATCTGTATATGCTCTCCGTCTCTCACTCTGATTTCATTTCTCATCCTTTCTATTTCGTCTCGTGTCTTCGCAGCCTCTACGTCCAGCTGAGGATCTTTCTCGAACTCCGTCACCTCTCTGGTCACCAGTTTTGGCGCGGCTTTTTGAAGGGTTTCCTCCTGGATGGTGACTTTTTTGGTGATCAACTCAAGCTCACTCACGGTGGTGCTACGCTTGTAGATCTCTTCATTTAGAATTTTCTGCAGGTCGGCCAAATCGCTCTCCAGTTTTGGGTCCCGGTAGTAGTGCAGCACTTCTGTCTCCTCGAAACGCTCCACTCCTCTGCGACTCTTCAGGGACAGCAGCCTCTCTTTATAGGTTCTTAACTCGACCTGGACATGAGTCGCCCTCTCCCTCTCCTCTTCGAGCTCCTTGGCCAGAGTGTCTAACTCCAAAGAACTCCTCTGCTGGCTTTCAAGCTGCACCTGCTGCTGTGCCACCATGGTGATTTTCTCGTCATTCTGCAGCAGGAAGAGCAAATGAAGTGAATGGTTACAGGTCAAGTGGAGGCCATCTGTGTTTTTTCAGTATTTTAGAGAACATATCTTAAAGGCTTTATATGCGTCACGGTGCATTGTTGTGTTAGCATGCTAATGCTAGTGATCTTTATTTTGCTCGTATCTTCACACAAATTTACCCGAAATGAGCGTGATCTAGAAACTCAGTTAAGCAGTGAGTACAGTATGCTATTCTTCTTTTCTCTAGTCAAGGAAATAAATCAGCAAACAGGACTTGAAACAGGTTATTGTTTTGAGTACACATACAGCGGTCAGCTGGCCGTCCCGACGATGTAAACAAACTGAAGATAGGACTCGGAAAACTCGGAAAGCATCACAGACAGTGGGACTCGGGTGTTACACCCATTGTAGACAGTCATGACTCACACAGTTATTTTCAGAGGATATACTTGATTTCTATTACAAGTGTGAAAAATCACATATAAAGCCTTTAAAGTCAAGTAAACAAAGTGCAGTTAAATTAACGGCTTGACGTCTTACGCGTGAAACAAGATTCTTAGCCAAGTCCATCTGCTTTTGCCGTTGGGAACTTTCAGCTGACGCTTCAGCGTAACGGTTGACCAGATCCCTTTCCTGTAGGAAAAATGAGCATACAGCAAATCCATCAGCATCCTTCAGCTTTAAATATATGTAAAAACAAAAAAAATAGAGAGTTGAATGTTACCTCTTTCTGGACAGCTTCAGTCAGTGTGGACAGGCGCGGTTTCTGTGCAACCGTTGCTCCAGAGTCCTCGAGTGTGCTGTTGTATTTGTCAACGTTGGTTTCATAATCCTGCACGGACACAACAACAAAAAAATCAGGTATGACTTTCCTTTTTTGTTGCAAAGAATAATCCAATCCAGCATGCTAATCTTAAACGTCGGTTTCAATGTGTAGAATATCTGCAAACAACTGTTTAATAAATGCATTTAAAAGTTATGAATCATGAGATATTAGATGGTTAAATGTGTTCATTTTAAACAACCAGAAATGCATTTCTTTTGTTGTTTTTTTGTAGCATTGTATTATCATGGATTTGAGCCTTACGCTGAGCAGACTTTGCAGGTCTCGAGACAGGTCGGTCACTCTGTCCATGTCGTCTCCCTTCCTCTTCAGGTCCTCTGCCACCCTCTGTGTGTCATTCAAAGAGATTTTGTTGTTAAAATAATCTTCTATTTGTACATAGCTTCTTTTAACAGATTTACTTGAGCGTCATGCAAAGAATAAGACATGAAGAAAAGAGTGGATGCTCCTGCTTTTTGGGTTTTTTGAGTCTCACCTCTTGAGAGCTCTGCTTGGCAGCGATCTGAGACAGGTCATCGTTGGGATTGATCTGGTCCTTCGGCAGGTTGTCCAGGAAAGATTTCAGGGATTTGCTTGTGCTTTGGAACTCCTGGTTTTTGCCTGCAGCGTCTTGTAAGATGTTTTCTCTATGATAAAAATTGTAAAAGTGCAGCGTTATGGTTACTTCAGTTCAAAGATCTGCTGAGTAGCTCAGGTTCTGGTCCTTTCAAAGCATTTGTAGATCCTCACCTCTCCTTCAGCTGGTTAGCCACATTAGCGTAGCGCGTCTGCAGCTGCTTGACCTCAGTCCTCTGGCGCTGGATGTCGGGGCAGTACTCCTGGTAGCCCTGTTGCAGAGAGCTGCACAGCTGATCCGTGGCCTCCAGATCTTGACTCAGCTTCTTCATGTCGTCCTGAGCCGCTGTCACAGCCTTCCGCTGATACTGAACACGGAAAGGAAGACGCGCAATGTCAAATCTGTCACATCAAAAATAGAGCTGATGAAAAAATACTTTTTTTGCAAAATGTCCTCACCTGGATGTCATCAGTGCGGGCTTGGAGAGCGTTTGGTACGTCAGGGATTGGACTGTCATCACTCAGCTTTTTCTCAAATCCAGAAACAAGGCCGTCCACCTTTTTGATCTGATTCTCCAGGCCGAGAGACGCATTAGCTCTGAAGAACGACACATGTACTGATGAGTGAACTGAGACCACAACATGACCATCAATAAGGTAAATCTAAAATCCCACACCATGCCACTGCTCATGTGAAACACCTCAAACCAAAACGTACTTCTTGTTGTAGAGGTCGGCGAGGGCAGCGATGCTGTCGTGCTTGTTGTTGGCAGTGCTCAGTTTGAGCGGCAGTCCCGAGGAGGTGACACTGGGGTCTTTGGACAGCAGCGGCTGCAGGTCAGCCTGCGCAGCCAACTTCTGCTTCTCCAGAGCCTTCAGAGCCTCGGCGGCTTGCTGTGAGGGGACACATGGAGATTATTTATGATACTGAAATCAAAGCTGAGAATGTCAGGACAGCCCGCCATTTACTAGAACACAGGCGAGTAAAGTCGTGTGAAGATGTCGGCTGTTTGCGTTCACACACATCGCTCATTTTTGTGACATTTTCATGAGTTTTGTATATTTTTGAATCACCATCAAATTCTGTTTCATCAAATACCTGACATCTAATCAGTTTTAGTCACCGAGTGAAACAAGAAAAAAAATTTGATCCTGAAAGTGCTTTGATTGTGAGAAACAGTCGGTCTGTTTGGACGCCATTATTAATACAATCTGTGATTAGATTCACTTTTTTTTCATTTCTATTAGGGCCCGACCGATATGGAAATATTTTGGGCCGATACCGATAACAATCAGATACCGATATTTCTGCCAATATCTTTCTTAGATCTTTGTTCGATCTGTGGAGATAGATAGATTTAGATAAACACATTTATTGCACAACGCACAACATTTGTGGACAAGAGATTCAGAATAACGAAGACAATGCATCCGTTGGTTAAAATAAAACATGTTGTCCTGTGCATCCTGTGCAAATATTCCAAAAGTGAAAACATCAGCAACTTAAGAAGAGATGAAAAACACACTTCCTGGTGCTCTCCTCCGTGTGTGTGACTCTGCTCCTCTCACCTGCTGTTCTCTCAGCCTCTTGGCCAGATCTCCGGCCGGGTCACTGCGGTCCAGCGGGGTCCGCAGGCGGCTCAGCATGCTCTCCTCGGCGCTGGCCAGGTCGTCGTCAAGCTTGTCCAGCTGCTGGGCCAGCGCTGTGGCTTTGGGATCCAGCGGGGAGGAGGATGGTGCAGCTGAAGGAAGGGAACGAGAGACTTTTGTTTAATAAAGAGAAGAGTCTGAAGTGATCAGGAGTTCACGCTCTCATCCAGGTCTACACTCCCCCCCCGCCCACTACGCTCTGCCAATGAAAGGCAGAGCGTCCAATCAGACTCAAAGCTGATCTTTTGCTCTTACTGACATTGTTCCCTTTTTCTAGATCCTTGCTTGTGTTGTTCTTACTCTCTGATGTACGTCGCTTTGGATAAAAGCGTCTGCTAAGTGAATTGTAGAATGTAAAGTGTGAGGAAGGCGCATGTTGATGGGGAACAAAAAAAGTAAGAAAACAAATCAAAACGAGGCGCTCTTATCATGGAGAAGATGATGCTTTCATAGTAAAAAAAAAAAAAAAAGCAAAAACACATGAAGGACTTGTTCAAAACAAGCTGAGCAACAACGCATGTGAGGATGTTTATGGATGGATCTCATTTTAAGATGAAGGGGAAACTTTTTGTGCAAGTGCTCTCAAATACTTTATGTCATGATTTACAGAACTAATGAAGAGGATATGAAAGGTTGAATTTAAAGGTAATGACCTGATTGAACGGGCCTGGAGACGGCTGATTTGTTATTCTTCAGGGAAGCAGCGAGAGCAGCTCTCCTCCTCTTGATGTCTGTGAGCTCATCTCCCAGCCTGATGAGGGGACATGGACAGAGGAGCATATGAGAATACAGGTCACTGCATTTTCCTGCATCGTTCATCGTAGCTACACAGCGCTGGTTTTACTCACAAGTCCACTTTGTCGATGGCGTCTGGATCGGGCGGGGGGATCTGGAAGCAAACTCCGGGGAAGGTTCCTGTGGACCCGTCGGTGGAGATGATGTCCCAGTTCTCAATGTCAGAGTTGGACTTCAGAGTGACCTTCTCCCCCTCTGTTCAGAGATGCCTACATGACAACGATAAATAAAGAACATCTGTGAGTATCACTACAATCCTCTCAGGTGTGGATATGTCACCTCTTTGTTTACTCCGGACAAACAAAAGCACATTTATCAGTCGAAGAACCAAAAGAGGAGAGAATCATGTGAAGAGGCTCCACCTTGTCCGTCTCCCAGTCGCACAGGGACTCCAGCGTGATGGGTCTGTTGCCCGTGCTGCGCCGCAGCTTCAGGGGAGCGATGGTGGTGCTGCGTCTCCTCAGGTCGGCCAGCAACTGCTCGCTGTTCTGCACCGCCTTCTCCCCCGCCTGAGGAACAAACGACGAGGAAAAAATATGTCTCACACATACTCATCTCAAAAACACAAAGCGACAAATCCTCATCTCGAACGTTTTCCTGCAGGAAAAACCGTGCTGAAGTTCTTTAAATATGATATCTTTGTGATCATGTATTGGTTGATTAGTTGAAGTTTTTTGTTTTAACCACTTTCTCTCTCATCACTGTTCGTTGTCTACACGTGTTGGATGGATTTCTTTGACCGCACACCCAGATAGGACTCGGAAAACATCACAGACAGTGGGACTCGGGTGTTACACCCATTGTAGACAGTCATGACTCACAGAGTTATTTTCAGAGGATATACTTGATTTCTATTATATTTCAGTGTGAAAAATATTAAGCCTTTAATGTCTAATAATGTATTTCTTTGTATTTAAAGGTGTGGCTGCTCGTTGTTTGTGCGATTTTTTTAATTTGAACTACTTTCTGGTCCTGGTCGAATGAAGGCTTAAAAAAATGGCCAGGATGCTCTTTAATATGAACAATTTTTCGTTCCTGGTTAAATAAAAAAAATGAAAAAAATCTTCTTCACCTTCACAAATACATGTTTATAAATAGATAAAATGGAAGAATCTGCTCCCACAGGGCGGTGTAGGTTTAATGTGAGCGCCCTGCAGTTTTTTGTAACCATGGCGATAGAGTGGTTGTGTACCTCCAGCTGCAGCTGAGTCTCTGAGTTGCTCTGTTTGCTGACCACCTTTGGGTCCAGGCTGTTGTTCAGTTTGGTCAGTGTCTCCGACAGCTGCTCCGTCTCCATTTGGTACTAAGAAGGGCAAAAAAAAGACAAACATGATTTAAAACAACAAATAATCCTTCTTTTTAAAAAATCATAAACGTGGACAAAAAGTAAGAATGACTAAATGAACTAAAAAAAAAACATGACACCTGTTAAGTCGGCGCCAAAGCCATGAAATCCTCCTGACACATAAAAACCACTTTGCGCTCCATATTTACCCTTTTGTACTCCTCCACATTGTCCAGGTGAGTCTCCTGACAGATGCAGAGGTTGAGGAATTTCTGCCACTCGTTCCGCAGAGCGTCTCTTTGCGCCTGTAAATGTGAGTTTTAAAAAGTTGAAAACCTCTTCTGCTTGTAAAGTTTGAGTCTTTTTTCCTGATGAAGGCTGCGTTACCTGTATCGTGGCGCTGGCAGGATGCTTCATGTCGACAAGTCTGTCTCCTTCATCCTGCAGTTTGTTCACCTCGCTCTCGTGGGACAGCAGGTTGTTGTTCTTAAAGTTCTGACGGAGCGAGAAAAAAACATCACAAACACATGAGTAACGTCTTTGACTCCGCCTTCATATTTAACCCTTTAGAAGGTGTCAGGACGGTTGCTGACCTCGTACTGCCTGCGGACGTCCGGCGGGTCCACCATGCGGTCGCTCCAGTCCTCACTTTTGATCTTATCTTGCTCCTCCCCCAGGAAGGCCAGCTCCTTGTTGCAGCCCTGCATGTACTCGTACAGGCTCTTCAGGTAGTGCTGACGCCACTTTGAGTTATCCTGAAAAGAGAGAGAAAATACAGATTACATTCTAATGTTCTTTCTTCGTCTTCATAGTCGACGACTTTTACTCCAAATCGTGCACAGAAAATGTTCCAGCTTCACTCACCAGGAGGTTGTTGTACTGTTTCTTCAGGGCTGTGTATTTCTCCTGAAAACACAAGAAGGCAACATGGCCGTCATGAAAATTTCAGAGTGATCCGGGAGAACGTGTTAAAGTGTTTTCATACACGTGTGCAGAGTGGTTTACCTTGCTGCCCGCTGAGGCGACGCAGAGCTGCGAGTTGTAGGCCTCCACCTCTTTGTGCAGGATGTTGTGAGCGGCGATCTGCTTCTCCAGGTCGGCCATGGTGGGGCCGTACTCTTCCGCGTTCACCTCTTTCTGAGAGCACACAGGAAGGACACAGTCAGCCACATGTTGACTTTAAAGAGGACATATTACCCCCCCCCCCCCCCTCCTCCACCTTTTCAAACAGCCCCCCTGTGGTCTAAATGAAACATCTGTGCTGTGCTTTGGTCAAAATATAACATGAATCAAGCACCAGAGGAGGTTTGTGACCCTGTATAAACCAGCTCTCTCAGAACGCTCCGTTTTGGTGTGTGTCTCTTTAAATGTAATGAGCCCCCCCCTGAGTTTTCCCAGTAGACATCACTCCTCTGTAGCGAGAATGAAAATGGCCGACCTATGCAAAAGTTTTGCTCTAGTCTGAGGGTGGAGATATCACCGTCGTTTAAAAACCTCAGGTATGAGCTGCATGTCGAGCAGGACAGAGATCCTGATGTGTGATTGTCTTTAAAGGAGGAATGTGCGACTTTTTGATCCTGTAGCTGTTGCCCCTTGAGCACCAGCATGAAACCAAAACAAACTGTTCTGAGACCAAATCGTCGACGTTGATGCACGGGGTCAGGTTGTGATACTTACTTGCTTCTCGTTGAAAACCGGCCCCCACTCGATTCTGGGCATCAGCGACACGTCGTCTATCTGCTCGTAGATGTCTCGGTAGAAGAGGCAGTCCTTCAGCCAGCGCTCGTGGAGCTCAATGACACTGGAGGAGACGCACAGACATCCATATTAACACAGACTGTACGAGGGCAACACAATAAAAAACAGATATACGAATGCAAAGGGGAAAAATCAAACCTTGAATTTTAACGATGTGTATTTCATTTCCTCTTTATTTACTTCCAGCATTTTTTTTTTTTATAATCAAATGTATTTTTTCATGAGTCTGTTTTGTTCATGAAAATCAACCAAGGCACTCCCGGCTGGACTTTTCTAACGCCATTACCTCGGCGTCAGTCGCTCGTCCCTGTCCCGCTGGCAGTTGGTACTAAACACTGAAGCTACATTTTTAACTGAAACCCAGGAAAAGAAATAGACTCTCTCCTGTACTTGCATATTTTCACTGGCTCCCAGTCAGGTACAGGATGTGCAGGGTGGAGTTTAAGGCCTGACCCACACCTGTATATCTCTGATCTCTGACACCCTCAGCACTTTGGTCGCCTCTACGTCTTTGACTTATTAATTTAGTGTCCACTCACTCTCTGTCGATGTCTTTGGCCTGTGGGTGTTTGAGCTTCTTGGCTTTGTCGATGTCGAGGAAGAGGTCTTTGAGCAGACCCTCGGCCTCGCCCAGCCGGTCTGAGATCTCCGCCTGGTGCTCGAAGGGCTGCTCCTTCTTGTCATTTTCAGCATCCTGGACGAGGCAGATCACAAATCATCAAGACAGAGCTTGCAGTTATAAAAGTGCCCTCAAGAAGGTGAGTGTGTGTGTGTGTGTGTGTTCTCACCACAGCCAGCAGCTCCTCAGACCGGAGGATGTCTTTCTCCACCGTGTCGGCGTTCTTCTGCATCTGGGCGACCAGTAGCTGCAGGTTTCCGGCCTGGGTCCTGCGAGGTGGGAGGAGAGAGAGTCAGAAAAAGTCAGATTGAAGTCTTCAAAAGTCGGCCTCTGAGTCTCAAACTCTCTAAATCTGAGGATTGACGTTAGACCCGTGGAGGGAGCTGGGATTTCCCTCATTGCATTTCAATACTTCTCACAAAAATATCAAAACAGAAAGCACATCTGAGCCGTTGAGTACAAAAAAATATACCCAGAGACGGAAGAAGGAAGACTAAGTGTGCACACCAGAAGCTGCTCCAGTTAACATTGAATGAGATGTATCACCACATGTGAGGTTTCAGGACCCGAGCCCTTCATCAGGCGGGATTTAAATTGCAGTTTTTAAGGTTTCTTTATTAGTACCTGAAGCTAAATCTGTAGTTTAGACAGGAATCCAGAGTCAAAGAGACAGATACAACACATTAAAACAAATATCATCGATTACATCAGCTGAATATATCCAGACGTGGTTAAAGTGCTTCATCTTGAGCTCGCTTTGTTCTGCTCTAGCTGCAGGTATTAAAGAGTTCCTGTAGCGTTTTGTCCAAAATCGACGGCCAGAGCAGAGAAGCTGAAACTCCCCATTTAAGGGATGAGAGCGGTCGGTAAAAAAAGTGCTCGCCTCACGCTGCAGCTGTAAAGAAGAGAGATCCATCAGGTTGGATTGAGACTCTCCAATCAGTTTGCTCGCTCACTTGACAATTTGATTAAAAGCATTTTTTGTTTTTAAGAGTCAGGTTACCAAACCATGAAACAAGAGAAGAAGACAGATTCAATTGAAGCTCAAGAGAACAAAATCATCAGGGTTTTGTGAATATGAAAATGGGAACACCTGCAAGTTGCTCTTCAACACAACGGAGGGCAACGTCCTTAATATTTTAAAATCTTCTACATCTTGACGTCTCCATTTAATTCAACATTTGCACTTTCAAACCTGTTTCAAAGCTCCCGTCTCTAGTGTTACATAGATAAATAATCTGGTCACATCCAAACAATCACTCTGAATGTGACATGACGACCCCACATGTTGCTATTCTTGCTGTTTGAATTTGTGCAACAGGGCGGATTCTACAACCCGAACAGACTCCCTTTATCCGAGCTCTTAAAAACCTCCAATCGATGACCCCGATGTGTAAGACACCGATCCAAAGAATGTCGACGAACAATCATGCAGCTGGCAGGTTAACTGACCGACATACCGCGGCTTCCTCTGAGACCTGTCTCCACGAGGAGAAAGTAAGCATCAATGTCAGGCCGAGCAGATTTATGAGTCAGATAGCGACTTGAATCAGATTCATCTCCACGCAGCTATGAGATGATGGAGCGACACAGGAATGTAGAGACTCACTCAGCTGGTTCTTCAGCCGCAATGACAAACGCCCTCACTATCCCCGCTCACTCAGCAGGAGGGACAGGTATGTGACACACACACACACACGCACACACACACACACACACACACACACACACACACACACACACACACACACACACACACAGACACATACACAGATACACATATCAGACATACAATAAATGGTGATGTTCACAGAAGGTATCTTAACGTGTTTTCTTTCTGAATATAAAAAACAATCCTCCGTTTATGAAATAGTGTTTTATGTGATTAAGGTTGTGTCTTGGTCTTGATAAAGGTGAGCGATTGTTCACAATAAGGTGTGTAGCTGACATGATTGACAGGTGGGCGCGGTGTAACGGTTTGTCAGGAGGTTTAAAACCCGCCTCAGCTCCAGCTCTCAGCCTGTCGTTAGGTTGACTGAAAGTTAGACTGAGACAGCATTTCCAGCATGGAGACCGCCATCGATGGGACTCCAGCGCCCCCTGCAGGACAGACGGGTGACGTCACTCAGGCTTCAAACATTAACATTTACAGTCTAAGGGCTTTCTCGCTCCATGTCCTATTGTTTACGGTGAGAAGGCAGACTCAGAGGGCAGAACAAACACCTAGCTGTGGGAGTGTAACCCACCTGGGGGAGGGGCTACTGCCCTTTGTGATGTCATGAAGGGAAAATCTCCAAACGGCCTGTTTGAGCACACATTTTCTGAAAAGTGGAGCAGGCTAAAGATAGAGAGGATGGACTTTTCTCATCATTGGGGGGTTTGTAGACAGACTAGAGACACATATTAGAGTTAGAGAAACATGATGAAGTGTGTTTTATAAAATATGTGACCTTAAAAACCACCTCTGTTGGACCACCTGGACAAACCCATGAAGGAGTATTTACATCCCTAATAAATTTAAGTCCATAAATGAACCAAATACATGATTCAGGCTGTTGTCGAACCTTCTTGTAAAGTGTGATTATACTCACAAGACTCGACCTTAAATTTGAAACCTCTAACTTCTAAATTGAGCCTGATGAGAGTGCAGGTTAAGGACACACATGGAGGGAGGTTAGCTGCACCAATCACATGATTAAACATCGAGTGTTTGTGTCCTTTGTGATCATGAATCTGCCTCACACACACACGCTGACCTGTGAAGAGGTCTGATAGAGAGTAACGGGCGTGTGAGCTGATCTGAGGTGTGTCTCCTGTACCGACTGTTTGCTCTGAACACAGCGGAGCCTTGAACACAAACAGACGACTCTGCTCTGGATAAAAGCAGACGACTGATACTGTAACTGTTTCACCTTGTTTTTTAACGGTTGGTGGATTAACGTTAAACTCTCAGCAGCAAAGAATGAACCTTTGTTTCACATTGGCGTTTGATTCCATGAATGACCACAGCGGCTTCCCCAGCAGCAACGACTGATTCGACTAGAAAGTAGGAGAACAGGACAAGCCGCATTATTTCCGAGGGCTTGTCTGCATTTTTTTTTAAAAGTTACAAAATCACAGAGCTCGTAGCACAAACACTCCCAACTCCTCCCAGCTCAACTCTTTAAGTCACTAAGTTTTATGGACTTTTATAGGAGCTTTGAGACGTTAAAAGATCACAAAGAAAGTGAAGCTGAACGTCGACTTTGTGAAGAGCAGTTTCATTTTTAATCGTCCGGTTTATTGAAAGCTTGAAAGTAGACCTTCAAGGTTGACTCTTCTCTGCAGGGGGAAACTTTAAAATCGCAGCGACCAGATGAAAACAAAGGCCGACTCTAGGACCCAGACAGTCTGAGACCCTCAGACATTAAGTCACTTCTCCTTTCCTGCTGTCACACAGCCGGGTCAGGCGGGGCGGGGGGAGTGAATGGGCACCGACCTCCTGGCTAAGGCGTAAAATGATAACAATGGATCCTGAAAATCTGATCATGTGTGATCCCGATTGATTAAAACATTTCTCATTGTCACGACTTCTAACCGTACATAGCAGACCATTTTCAGGTGTGTGTGAACAGATGATAGTGCCTCTCTTGGTGGGTGTGGAGGGAGGCAGGTTTCAGTTTAGGTAAATAGGCTTTGATGTAATCAGCTCCTAATCATATTCTGAAATTATTAATTGTGTATTTTGTTCTGTTTGTGTGTCTACCTGCTCGGTGTGGCTGCAGGTGGAATCAAGCTAATCGGCTAAATCTCAATGAGATGAATGTTGAGTTTGTACGCGGTCTCTGACAAACTAAAAAAACAAACTGAACATTCACCTCCTCGGCTTGGCTCCTGATGACGCCTTATCGTACAGCTCTACTGGTTAAAACGATGACGGATAGCGCCTCAATGGTTTTTATTCATTTTCTATGGAGAGCTTGAGAGGCAGGCGGGCAGTGCATGTTGGGATGAGTTACAGCGAGTTTCAAGAGGAACTCACAGAACAGACCAGAGCTGTAGTCTATGCAAATGAGTCCAGGGACTAGCCGTGCGTTCATCCAATCAGGTTCATTCATTGAGGCTACGTCACCTATTATGTAACCTAGAGCAGGAAAACTGAAAAATCCAGAGTGAGTGGAGCGGTCCAGGAGAAAATCAGAACGAGTCCACTTTTCACTGGGTACAAACGCCCATCCTAGCATCCTCGATTGAAGGAGAGAAGATGTAACGTTAGCCTCCTTTTCTTTTCTGCCAGACTTCCTCTTGTGCAGGGGGGTTTCGGGTGGGGTCGGACATCAAGTTAAGGTCAAAGGGCACGCCCAACAATAAATCAAATGTGTATTCCTCCTTGAATAAGAAATTGTGAATCTTTAGGTTTGATTTTTGTTTTTTGCTTTAATCTAGGATGGACTCTGTTTACGCTAAACTTCATGGGGCCGTCACGCAGCCGGGTCCCAGAAAGACCCCCCCCTTACCCCCTTTATGGGCGGCCCTGCATACACCCACCAACACCCACATGTTACCCTGAGTGTTCTGCACTCTACCTGTGCTGTGTGATCTCCTGTCATAAACGACCGATGTTCAGTTTTTCAAAGCAAGAAATAAAGAAATATGTTTCTGGTCGTCACTATATCAGATTTATAAACTTCCAGACGATGCGACTTCAAGTCAAACGGTATTAAAAACACCGCCACAGACACAGAAACAGAAGTCGTAAGCTCCACATGTTGAGTCGTTTATTGTTTTTAATGAGCAGAAACTGCAGACAAACTCCTGCACATGAAGTCTGAAAACATATTTGTTTCATTCAGACACTGCTCTCTCTCTCTCTCTCTCTCTCTCTCTCTCTCTCTCTCTCTCTCTCTCTCTCTCTCTCTCTCTCTCTCTCTCTCTCTCTCTCTCTCTCTCTGTCTCTCTCTCTCTCTCTCTCTCTCTCTCTCTCTCTCTCTCTCTCTCTCTCTCTCTCTCTCTCTGTCTCTCTCTCTCTCTCTCTCACTCTCTCTCTCTCTCTCTCTCTCTCTCTCTCTCTCTCTCTCTCTCTCTGCTCGCTGCAGCATTCATTAAAAATAGGACCAAATATGTGACCTTTTTGTAAAGCTCTGATACTTTTGATTGATTAAATAATGATTTAATATTGTTTTAAAACATGTGGTGTCAGAGTCGTGCCTAGCAGACAACATTTAAAGTCATTTTTTCAGATATTTGTTGATTTCCTGCTTTTCATTTTCTGATTGCTGCTCGGACACAAACGCAGCTCGGGCTCTATCAAACAAATGTTTTAAAGATGAGTCACAAATGAAATAATCATTACCTCCATTCGTCTACTTTAAACGTCTCTTTATTGATTTAACGAGCTGACTCTGTGTCGCAACATGAAGTACAGTTTGGGAACCAACGCCCACACGGGAGGCAGAAACCAGCTGAGCCGCCTCGACTGCCCAGCCCTCATCACACCTCAGCACCACACCTCAGCAAGGAGACAGAACGTCCACCGTGAGGCCACAGGCCGGACACCCCCCCTGCCAACCCCCCCCTCATGACGAGTCACTGTTATGCAACCGACATGACAAACACTCATCCTATGGCGTCGTATCAGAGGTGATCCTGTGACTTCCTGTGATACTTTAAGATATTCTCTGAGTTTGAATAAAACTCAAAAACTTGAAGCCGTCTTTTAGAACTCGATGTGAATAACATCAGTCGAGGACAGCGTTCCACGCGCCCCCCCCCCAAGATCAAACCTGCATAAACTCAAATCTTAGCGACCTGAGCTCAAGTCAGAAACATCTAAATACACAAATTATAGATTTATACATATTTTAAGTCCTCATGAACTTCTTATGTTGAGATATTAAAAAAACAGAAAACAAGCCTCAGATGCTTCAAATAAGAGAAGAAAAACATCTGCCAACGAGGGAGAAAGTTAAAACACCTATGCTAAGCTTATTTTTTTATCATATCATCAATTCAGGATGTATTTTCCAAGTCATGACTTTAAAGGGTGTGTGTGTGTGTGTGTGTGTGTGTGTTCGAGAGAGAGAGAGAGAGAGAGAGAGAGAGAGAGAGAGAGAGAGAGAGAGAGAGAGAGAGAGCAAATTTCTACATTGCACAATAAGTTGTCGAAATGTTTTTGCAATTTTTTGGGGAACTTAAAACTAAGAAATCACCCAACGTTGGAGGTCTAAGACTTTTAACTTTGTGTTGCCATGGCATCAGAACAGCTATGATTTGAGTTAAATCATCTGTTGTCATGACAACCAACACTCCCCCCCAAAAAAAGACACAAGAGTACAAGAGCCCCTTTGAATCACTGACTGGTATTAACACATTTTCTCCATGAAGGAAACACAGAGGAGTCTTTATTTTTGTGTCGTTTGAATTTCTTAAACATGGAGGTGAAAGTCGACCCTTGAGGTGACATTTTCTTTGGATTTGTCCTCCTCACAATCCTCTCTGTGACTTGCTCAGGAAAAGCACACTCGAGTTCCCCTCTCGGTGTTTACAGAGTAAACCTGAGCTCAGGGCTCCGACAACACCCTGACTAACACCTGAGCGAGCTCTAACCATCACTCTTCAAATCAACAGTTTAAAATCAGTGTCCTTCAGCCTCAGTGTAACACAAACTGTGGAGGAGAACGAGGAAACACGAGGAGGAGGGGGGGAAGGGGGGGCTGAGATAAAGTGTCACCACACACACATTCATTCATGCATTACATTCAATAACTCCTCAGGGAACAAAAAGGGAAACTCACTTGTTCATCTTGAGCGTACTGTCCTTACTTTCCTTTTTCTTAAACATCTTGGAGGTCGTGGGTGGGTGGGGGGTCACGCAGAAAAATCCCACAGAAATATCTCTTTTTTTTTTTTACTCCTTCTTCGTCTCCGTCTTCCTCACCCTGTGACTCCTGCTCCGTTTCTCCTCTCCCTTTGGTTTCCTCTCAAACACACACATCAGAGGCTCCTCCCACACCACGTTAACAGGTGCGTCGCACGCCCCTCACATCCACCCAGCAGAGAGAGAGAGAGAGAGAGAGAGAGAGAGAGGGAGAGAGGGAGAGAGAGGGAGAGAGAGAGAGACAGAGAGAGACAGAGAGAGAGAGAGAGAGAGAGAGAGAGAGAGAGAGAGAGAGAGGGAGAGAGAGAGAGAGGAGAGAGAGAGGGACCGGACAGACCTGTTCCCTTGCACTCTCCTTTTTCTCCTTACGTCCTGCCCTTCCTTTTCATCGGGGCCCTGACACACTGTCACATGTCTCCTAGGGAGCAGGGGCCCTTCAGGCGCTCAGACACACTAAACATTTTGATTCACATCAATGAAATGTGCTTTGTGAAATCTTGTGAAAATCTTTGAATGAATATTGAATACTTCCTGTCCTCGACCTCACTAAAACACAGCCGGTTCACTTCTAAGGTCAAAGGTCAGGAGTGTGATGACAGGGTTTAGGTAATCAGCTGATTTAAAGAAGTATTACACCTCTCTATCGTCTGTCCCACCTGACACTTCATCGTTGCAGTTTGTGAAAATGTAAAATAGATCAGCAAACGCAAAAAAATAAATCCACATACGGGTAGATGAATCCCGTATGAGTAACGAAGTCCACAAATTCAGAGACAGAGGGGCACTGGATATGGCCTGTAGAGGTTATGTTGAGCGCCCCATGGACGGAGGCCGTAGTCCGCGGGTTCGAATCTGACCTCGACCCTTTGCTGCACAAATGTGAAGCTGGATCCTTCAATAAAAAAGTCAAACGGTTTCGATACAACAGGAAGAAAATCAGAAGTCCGAGGGATACAATATATGATTTATTGTTTTTTAAAGATTTTTAGGGGCTTTTTATTGAGAGATAGGACAGTGGATAGAGTTTGAAATAAGGGAGAGAGAGAGAGACATACATGGGGCGTGCACACTAACCACTGGACCACCAGCGCCCCCATACAATCTTTTTTTTATGAGCAAAAATTTAAAGCAAACTTCTTCAGAAATCAGAATTTAGAAATCAGAAATACTTTATTAATCCCGGGGGGGGGAAATTTGTCTGAATTGCCTTAAATACTTTGCCAGCGTTTCTGCGTCACTTCCTGTTTGTAACAGACACATAAATAACTTCTGCATCTTTCTGAGACACCAGAAGGATCACCGCTGCTGTCTCCTTCTCTTGTGGAAGCTTCTGTGGGGCGTCAGATATGCTATATAGTGGTTAGCGTAGCGTAGCGGCTTCTGTTCTGTCATCGCCCCCCCCCCTCTCTCCTCCGTCCAACATGTCCTCTCTCTCTCTCCAGCTGTCCTTTCCATTAAAGGCAAAAATGGCCGGAAACTATGAATCTGTAAGTTAGAAAATAAAGAGATTATATCGCTTTAAATGAAAAGTCTGAATGTACGGGGCACTTTGACAACCTGACCGTGTTTACAGTAAACACTGGGAAAGTGAGAGACCAGCTTTGGGCCAAAACAGGAAGTCTTTGTTACGTCATACGGTCACATTAAGGTGGTGTTAATGGTTTAAGACGTCTTCATACATCACACAGTCCTGCATACAGGATCAGGGCGTTTCTCTGCAGCGTATCAACAAAAGGGA